AGAAAATAGATGGATGCAGATATAGACCCAGTAATAATAAAGGGTGACTCAAACGTGTGGATGAAACAAAACACAACTACAAGTATGTTTTTGAGGAGGTAACAACATTCTAACATGGCTAAAAGCTCACAAGAGTCAATAATATACATAGGATAGGATATAGGATCTTTAATACCCATTTCTTAAATAGCTCCCAATTTTGATTTTGATACCAGATCTACAGGTCACACAGATATAAAAATACCTTTTTATCCTCAGTGGAAAACACCTTTTTGCGGGTTGGAATAACAGTGCTCTGAGCGTCATTTGCCCAGTGCCCCTCAGGTGATTTACGAGGTTGTTGCCTCCGACAGTGAGAGGGGGCTGGAGCACTTTTACTAGCAGCACATGGCAGCAGATTCTTGTGAGCTTTAAGTCATTGTTATAATGTTGTTACCTCAACAAAACCATACCCATAATTGTGTTTTATTTCATTCACACATCTTTAACGAACCCATTATTATTTCTCTGTCTACATATGCTAAAATGCTCTGTTCCACTTTGTGATGTCATGTAGTGGCAATTTTCATCTTAACACCTACTTTTTACCCTTTGTTCTGTAGAGATGGGCCATTCCAGGGCTGAAATCATCCAAATGATTCAAGTGAAAGTATATGGAGTTTAAAAACACAGTGGAGCGCTTCCAGTATTACCAGTGTTTTCAGTTTGATAGAAGAACACACACACACACAGCCTAAATATGCAGAGTTTGTGTGTTAAACGTGTGTGAATGGAACAAAATACAACTCCAGGTATGTTTGTAATGAGAACGCAACATTATAATGTAGATCAGAAAATAGCGTCACATGGGCCCTTTAAGTACTGTCGTAGTGCATTGTGAGTGAAGAAGTTGACTTTCACTCTCAGTATTGATTCCAAATGTCTTCTGTTGGCTTTATAATAGTAGGAAGGAGCAAGTTTATAGGCATATGAAAAGTCAATTTTTTTGTCAAGTGAAGATTTTATCGCTCCCTGAGAAACTTGCCCAATATTAACATCTCCACTCAGATTCACACATGCTTTGTCTTCTCAGGCTGCTTTCTCAAGACCTAGGTCTCTTACATCAACTTTCAACTTCATCCAACTCAAACCTGTTCCCACCATTTTCTGAACCCAAAATATACATAGGCTTTGCTCCAGCATCCCCTTTCTCCTGACAGTGGTTGGTAGTCTCACACATGGAGGTATGTTGAAAATACTGAAGTCTTTGATCTTGGTTCTTTGGCCTCTCTGGGCTGTGTACTTACCCACCGGTGGACTCTGGGGTCTGGGCCAATGTCTGGAGGTTCAGGGGGTTGGGTCCTCTCGCTGATCCCAGGTTTGTGTTATCGTTCTGGGGGAGAATGTGCTGCGTCTCAGGTCTGGCCCGGATCAGGTTCCATCTCACCTCAAGGTTGTTTTTGTGTTAGCATTTAGGTCACGGTTTCTCAGGAATATTCTTTTCCCATTTTTTGAAATTTAAAGGGGCACTGTGTAACTTTTCTGGTGGAGGGTCTGTCAGATGCTTTTCTCCATGGAGAGTTATTTTCTGTCTGGAATGTTCCGCAATATGGTTTTAAACCTTTCTATCTGCATGGAGACCAAACTAGACCAAGTTAGCAGTCAGGCCTGGTTTTCTTGGTATTTTTGAAATATAAAACCACTTGTAATTGAATAAATGTAAGGTAGAGCTGTTTAATGTCATACTGTGGAACATTCTAGGCAGAGCAATGACATATCCACAGAAACAAGCAGGTGACAGACCCCCCAAGCAAAAAGTTACATAGTGCACCTTTTAAAAATGAATTATAATAAGTAGAACTAGTCAAATAGGTTGCATTAAAATGAAACAATCCTTCAAAGCATTAGCACCTTTTTAGATTTTTTTTAGTTTCAGATGGTCTTGAGTCTTGATCTATTTTAGGATTAGCAGCCTATAAGACCACATGGTATATTTATTATTAATATAGATATTTTTTAAGTTATATTCTGTTAGTTTAGTAGTATCATTATTGGTATTGAGTATTAAACATTTTCCTTACTGCCTTAGTAATTAAGCATTAATGAAGTTTAAAATTTTACTATCAACACTGACCAGATGGGTCTATCCTTGGGGCCACACATTGATTTTGCATAATAAATTAATCTTCTTAAGTCTTTCAAGATTTCCCACTTAACCAGGCTATGGACAGACAAAAACGATTTCCTATTTCCTATTGTATTTCCTATTGTATGCAATTTCTATTTTATGGAATTTCTACATAGCTCAGGTATGATAGCTATCATTTGCAGTCCACCATCCTTATCTGCAAATGCAGGAGGAGGAAAATTGGTAGACTGTGGGAACACCCATATAATTTACCAGAACAAAAATAACACAATAGAAATGTATATCAGGTATCTATGGTCAAAATGTTCCTAAATGTAACAGGAGATGCTTTCTTTGATTACATTTTTCATAATAGCTATTGTTAGTTTACGTAATTTTGTTGCCCTTTACATAAGATGGTAGCTATGTTTTCTCTTTGCACCAGTTTATATTTCTTAGCTGTAAGTGAGGCAAGTGGCTCAAGATGCTTGGAATCGAAACTATTATTGTAAATGTACCTGCTGTTGAAGGTTCACTATCTAACTTTTCCATGGTGCAGATATGCTTATTCCACACTATGACATTAATTGTGGTATTATTATTATATATTATTTTAGTTTTATAGGCTAAAGGCAAAGAAATAACATACATATACATGCGTCTCATTCATTGTTTTAGATTGCTCCACATCGGCGAGGCAAATTTTGCATTTGGGAAGTTTGTTCACCAACAATCAACATGGCAATAAGTCTTTTTCTGATTCTGATATCATCTACAGTTGATTTTGAAAACTGGAGCATCTTCAGTCATCCAAGCATATGAATACTGTTATATCTGTGACCACATTCAAAGCTCTTATATCTTATTATGTGCTCACTTTCATGTTTATACACAGTCTTATTTTGCTCTTGTATTAAATCTAAGAGGTTCTGATGTGGCTTGTTGCTAATAATCTCCAGTGTTAGTGTCTATGATGCTCTAAAACAGACCAGAAAAACACAGCGCCTCTTTGGATTGTTTTGAATGGGACTCTCCCCAATCCCTCATCTCACCACGAGCTTTTAGCAGCTACAGTTTGTTTTCCTAGCCCTCTCCACTCTGCTCCAATCGTCCTGTAAGACTCCCATAGCCTTTCTGAGATGTTGTTTACTTTGAGAATTAGCTGACCTCCCAGTTCTGGAGCCAGGAAGCATCTCTCCTTCCTCAACTCTGGGTCTATGCCAGTGTATTGTAATGGGGCAGACTTGTGTTGGAAAAATACATTGAGAACAAGGTCACTGGGTTGCACTTTGAAAACTCCATCAGTCTTTCTTTGAATGCTGTTTATGAACCCTGTTATTACATGGTTTGTTTTGTATCATTGTATGCCCATTGCAACAAGGCCTAAGCCACAGGTCCAGCTACTCAACCTAAAACTAGCACAATAAATACTATTGACCAATATCCTGGCAGGAGATTTCGAAAGGGGTCACTAGAAATACATTTTGAGGAACATTTTCTTTGTTGAAAACGGTTCTGTTGAGCTGTGCATCCACTGACCCACGACCCACAGGTTGGCGGTGTGATTCCAGCTCCCACAAATGAATTCTGTCATTGTGTCCTCGGGCCTCACCCCTGGTGTCTGTGCACACTGGTGTATGAATGTGGAATGTGTGTGTGAATGGGTGAGTGGTTCCTTGATGTAAGAGTGCCTTGAAGGTGGGAAAGTGCTATATACAATTTTTAGCATTTTCCATTACGCACTGTTCTCTCTTCTCTTTTAATGTCAGTAATGTTTATAGTGATTATTTATGCTTGATTTCTTTGCATTGTGATTTTAATGTATTTCTTATCTTGTAAAGCATTTTGAATTACTTTATGCATGAATTGTGCTATAACTTGCATTGCCTTGCCTTGAAAATTTGTTGAGGATAACATGTTTAGTCTATTTCTGACGCATGTTTACAGACCAGTTATAATAATATTTTTTGTATCTCGTTAACTACTGAATGCAACAAAGCCAAAGCCACAACTCCAGCTAACCAACCCAAAACAAGCACCATTGTTTTTCTTTCTGCACATGGCATAAGATTTGGGCAAGGGTCAAAGACTGCATTGTTAGAAAAGCCTGTTTTGGTTGAAAGCCACAGTTGGTGAATCAAATAACTCTTGTGATAGATTGAAAAATCTTTCTGGCAGATTTTTACAATATTCTTTTTACTCCACAATGCCCTGCATCCAAGTTTGCAGACCAGGCACTATTTCAAAAGTATATCTGTTCAAGGTAGGGTCAAGAAGAACAAAGTGGAAGTCTGCTCTCTCCAATTCTGTGAAGGATTAAAGTTGCACTGTGTAACTTTTTTGTTGGGGGTCACCTGCTTGTTTTTATGGATATGTCATTGCCCTGCCTGGAATGTTCCACTGTATGATGATAAACAGCTCTACCTTACATTTATTAAAGTACAGGTTGCTTTATAACTCAAAAATGCCTAGAAAACCAGGCATTCTGACTGTGAGGGGTGTCACCTCTCCACTGATATGACCTGTAACTTGGTCAGGTTTGGTCTTCATGAAGATAGAAAAGTTACCGTACCAGACTGTGAAACATTCCAGACAAAGCAATAACATCTCCATGGAGAAGAACGTTTAACTGACCCTCCACCAGTTACAGTTACAATTACAGTTACAGTTACACAATGCACCTTTAATTAAACATCACAATACCTTTACTGTTATTCTCTAGTGAGGTTGGAACCAGCAAATGTCCATTGAAAGACTGAACCCACATTACCAATTTTTATGTTTTAAATATATAAATCATGCTTCTCCAAGTGTTTAGTAGTTCATAGACTCACTGTATAAACATGTTTTGGTTGAGGATTTGTGACTTGAGGCATGTCCTTTTGCTCTTCAGGTGTTCCAGGAGCTGGGCGTGTCTGTGCTCTCTGCTGCCTCAGATGGTTATAATGTGTGTCTGTTTGCTTATGGCCAAACGGGATCAGGAAAGACCTACACCATGATGGGCACGCCGGTAAGACAAACCAGAGAAGAGTCGACACAGCACAGTTTTTAGAGTCAGTTTGCTCTTGGATAATGCTTCCTTAAGTGTTCCCCCATGTAGAGAATTGTACCACACACCATATTTTCAAACATATATGTAGATAGTGAATTGCAGAAAAAATGTAAACTGTAGAACAATAATATAAATAGGAAAATGATAAGAGCAAAACTGACTAAAATTCAATGCTCATGACCTTGGTTAAACTTTTAGCTTTGCAAGTTTCTCAAGTCTGCTGTGTTGACTTAGATAGGCATTCTTTTTTATTAGTTGATAGAGAAACATTTGCCACGCCCAAAGTTTTTGCTGATTTGAAAGGTTTTTTTGCTCCTGCTGGTGTCACAATAGATGTAGAATGTAATTTAAACCAATGCAGATGCATGGTTATGACATAATAATATAATAAATAAATATACCTATATAATGGAGAAAGTTATGTCCTAAATTTCTTAATGGCAGTATGCAACTATATCTGAAGATTGCAAGAGAAAGCTCATGATGTTAAATTAGAAGATGAGGGTGAGATTAAATTTCTTCCCGCTCCTTTTTGGGCAAAAGTAAATATGCAATGTGCGTATTACTTGCATGCTTTTTTGTTCTTCTTGTTTCTGTTGATATGATTGCACTGATGTCAATATGGATGTTATTATGTTTCATTGTAAAAGAACGTAAAGTGTTTACTTGCCCAAAATAAACACATGAATAAAATAAACCTTTGTGGTGTGGAGCACACCACCTTCTTGTATGAAGATGATGATTGCTTTGCCTGGATTTTTTCACAGTATGGCATAAAATTTATCTCCATAGTGATAAGCAGTAATGTTACAGATTTGATCTAGAGGCGAGCCCACTCACAGCAAGAATGCATGCTTTTCAAGGTATTTTTTAATTTAGCTATAAAAGCACCTCAAATGTAAATGCAAGATAGATACAGTATTAGGGGTGGGCGATATCTCGATATTTTAAATATATCGAGATAGTTTTTAAACTCGATATGAATTCTGACATATCGTATATATCGATATAATTCTTATATTCAATTCTGATTTCGCCGCTTTGGTTGTTTGTCTCCTCTGTGCGCGCCGCCGCGCGCCCCCGCCTCCCTGATTTTGCTCGCTCGTGTCTCATTCACTCCTAGCTATCGCTGTGAATGCCGAAAGTTGGTGCCAGTGAAAAGCTTCTAGAGCCACGAAACTTTTCTACCATTTACAGACAAGACCATCGGCAGCACATCTTATATTCCACTGAGTCATGTCCTTCAGTCCAAAGAAGTTGAACCGCGTGGAGTGCGCTGTTTATGCAAATTAGCCATGCGCTTTTTAAGTTTTGTTTCTGTAAAACGTAAATAAGTCTGCGCAAAACTGCAAAAAAAAAAACAACAAAAAAAAAACATTATAATCTCAAACGGGCTGATGTGGCTCTAGAGTCGTTATGCTTTATATCTTGTAAAGTTTAGTCATGTAAAGTTTATTTATGCAGAAGATTTTAATTCATAATCTGCTGCAGTGTCACTTGTACAATAGTGTTTGGAAACGTTGGGTTTGATCTGCAGTGGATTGTGGGAAACCTAATAGCTCTTTACTGCTGGATAGGAACATGGATCTGTTAAAATAAGGAACATCATATGGTTATGGTCTGGATAACAGAGTTGATGCAAAGATGAGCTTGTTTCGAGTTGTTTTATCTATGAATGAAAAGAACGAAATATGTATTATTTCTTTTATTTTACAGTTAAATTATTATTTATGTAATAAGGATTTTTTGTAATCTTCCTATATGAACTGCCTACCTCTTACACTTTAATTTAAAAAAAAAGGACCTTGTGGAATTTGGCAGTTTTAGGGGGTTATTTTTTCCTGTACAGATATCGAGATATATATCGTATATCAAGATATAGCAAAATATATCGAGATATATTTTTTGATCCATATCGCCCAGCCCTATACAGTATGTTTAATGCCATACTGTGGAACTGTCCTGGCAAAGCATTAACATCTCCACTGCCCACACAACAGTAGTTACACAGAGCACTTTTAAATGAAAAACAAAACATTATGCTCTTCTTGGATATCTGATATTATAAGATTATCAATGTTGTGGTCATTCAAATACACACCTCTACTCATAGGTTTAACCCAGTGCTAAGAAAACTCAGCTTTACGCTCCTATAAATGTCTGTAGACACTTGGAGAGGAAATCCTATTGTTACGCAAATCACTACTAATACTGTAGTGGTCTCTCTCCAATGTAAAGTAATGTACACTGAAAACCATTTACATTTGCCCTAAATTGTACATGACAGCTGTGAAAACGAATAAAACTCTCTGCTTTTTCTTGTTATCCTTTTGACAGGACTCAATTGGCCTGACCCCTCGAATCTGTCAGGTATGTCAGTGAATTATATATGCTGTCTGAATACTTTAATGGGATGAATGTGCTTAAATTGGCTTGGTTGAGTAGGGATACTGTAGCGTGAAATAAAATACAAGTTCACCTATTTTCTTACAGGGGCTTTTTAGATCAGAAGACGCTACTCCTGATGGGCAAAACTCAAGAGTGGAGATAAGGTTGGCTCGTTGTCTTTTTTATTCAATAACTCCATCAATTTCACTTGATTTAACATAGCACTTTTTGTTACAGTGCCTCCAGTGATAAAAGGGGGACATGATTTTAGGTTTAAAGTTTAATCAAAGTTGCTTGTCTATCCTGGCAGTTTTTTGGAGATCTATAATGAGCGTGTGCGAGACCTGCTCAGAGGAGGAGAGCAGAAGAAGAGAGCTTCCCTGAGAGTGAGGGAGCATCCAGAGAAAGGGCCCTATGTACAAGGTGAGCGAAGATACAGGTTTCTATATTTTAAAAAGACCATTAAAGGTGCACTGTGGAACTTTTCTGCCTTGACTCCTATGTTTTGGCTGGAATGTTCCACATTGTACCATTAAATTGATCTATTTTGCATTCTTTAAAAGTACACTGTGCAACTTTTCTGGGTGAGGTTACACAACTGCATGTTTTTCTTGTGCCTGGGGTAGGGGTGCCAGGCACATGGCATTAAACTTATCTATCAAATATTTATTCAATTACATGTGTTTTTATTGCTCAAAAATACATTGAAATAGGGTGAGATTGCCTCTTCACAGGATCTGACCCATAACTTGGCCTGGTAGCATTCTTGTCGCCATAGAAATAGAAAAGCTGAACTCTGTGGAACATTCAGGCAGAACAATAAAATACTTATTATGAAGACAAGCAAGTGGCAGACTCTCCACCAGAAAAATTACACAACGCATATTTGAATTGATCTATTTTGTATTTATTACACATGTTTTATTGCTAAAAAATACATAGGAAAGCATGCATTCTTACTGGTCTTACTCAGTCACCTCTTCATAAATTTGACCTGAACTTGGTCTTGTGCTGTAACCTGCTTGTCTCCATGGAAATAGGAAATAAGTTTAATGCCATACTATCAAACATTCCTTGCAAAGCAATAACATCTTCATGGACACAAGCAGGTAGCGGACCCTCCACTTGAAAATACATAAACCCATTATTCTTGATGTGACCAGTTTTATTAAATGTAAACTTTTTCTAATAATAGTGTTAATAATAAATAAGTTAAATGAGAAGTACCATCAGTGAAAACTAACCTAAATCTATATGATGCATTTTTATAATCCTTGCTTTTCCAAAACTACATAAATAAACCATCCAAAATATTAGTTTTTATCCAGTATTAGGAATTCTGTCAACTGTTTTTGGTTCTCAAATTTGGCTCTGTTTTTGGTCGACTGTGTTGACTTTAAAGTGCTTTTTAAATAAGGTTGGATTGAAGCTGGATTGGAAATAAGGGAGTAATACTGTGTTAATGGGTGAGTTCACTTGAAGGCCAAAATATCCAGTTAATCAAATGGTCCAACAACGGCAAGCATCAAAAAGACACTGAAAATCATCACATTTTTAAAGCAGAAGCTAAACCCAAAATGTAGTGTACAAAATAATCTGAAACATTGTCAGTGCATGTTGTGTGAATAGTATACATTGTTTTTTCTAATACATCTGAATATTCACTAATGTAAGGTTTGCAATTGATACTTTGCTGATGTCATCAACATTCCCTGGGGGTGTGATGCTAACTGAAGTCTGTGCTTTGTCTGAGGCTTTATTAGACTTTAATCTGGACTTTATTTTAACACAATCTGCCGGTTAAATAAATAGACAATCTCGAAATCTTTTTGACAGTGCACATTTTGTCACCATGGTAACTCCTAAACATTTTATCATTAGAGATACATGACACCCCCAGCATGATGTCACTGCAAAGTATCAGTATATTTAGACTTCCTTGTGTATTGTACAGTAATTTAACTTTCAATACAAGACTAAATATAAACATTATTTGAAGACTTGTCCAGACACAGCAACGCTAATGGTCAGGATATTACGACTAGATCAGAACAAAGATACCACTACCAACTGTTTACAAGGAGAGCCTGAAGATTTTTGGAATTACCGTACCAAATATATATGCAACCAAACCTATATTTATTTTTATTCATACTGACATGGAATTCCCCTTGTGAGTACTTTGATCATGTCTAGAATTGTTCTAAACATTTTCCATCGTCCTCTTAACTTTCTGTTAACTTCTTAAGACTTCCCACTCTGCTTTTTGTCCCATTTGTGTTACATTTAAAAGGCCACATCCACTCATTGTCTGTATCTGAAGAGATCCCAGTTCACCACAGGAAGTGAGGTCATTTCCTTGTGGTTTCCATGGAGGAGAACATGTGCTCTGAGGATAGACCTTCTCTTGTACCTAAATATCATTGGATTTTTGTATATTTATAGCATGTAAACATATATTATTCTTAAGTTTACATGTTTTACAACCACTCAGGCAGAACAAGTGTTGCTATAACTAACATTTTATTAGTCCATTGGGGTATTTATGATGTCCTAGAATGACCAAACTGGAACTGCTGTTCACTCAGGAACTACTCGTCATTTTGGTCTTAAAATGTTTGTATTAACCCGCTCTACATGATCTTGGTGTTTTTTTTGTTTTTTTTTTTTTTTGCTCTTTTATCCGTCAGAAAATCCTATTCAGCTGCAAAGTATCTATATTCTTTGTGTTGCTCCCAGGTCTGGATAAACTGGACTAGGAGGAGCAGTGAACTTCGGATCTGATGATATACATAATCAATAATGAAATCAATCCACATCTTGAGACCAATGTTTTGCAGAAGGAAAGATGGTGAAAAACTGTAGAGGAAGTACAAGCATGCAAACAGGATAGTAGCTTAGTAACTAGAGGATATCCATGTAATTTAGTCACACTTTGAATGGGCAGAAGTTCTAGCGTTGTGTTCGTCCCTTGAGGTATGAAATACTTCTATGGATGACAAAGGATTAGACATGCTTCCTGTTTATTATGCCTCCTCCTAGAAGGGATGGAACAAGATCTTATGCCACAGGATCTCGCAAGATAAAACTGCCATAAGATATGACACACATGGGGAAAATTATCTTGTTATATACTCATTTTGATTATATTATATGTAGTGCTGGTGAGTTACATCTCTGGCATAGTTAAAAAAATATATAGAATAAGTGCTAATTGTGTGGCCCATAGTGTAAAACAGCCTCCATCCCCCATTTTTATTATATATATATATATATATATATATATATATATATATATATATATATATATATATATATATATATATATATATATATATATATATATATATATATATTTTTGTATTTTTTGTGTGTCTTAAAAGACATGTTAAACGCTCGAATATGAATACTACCACATAAACTACCACACAATATGTCATTAGTAATACATATTATTTGTAAACATGTTTTTCTGACTCTTTTTGTGAAACCACCATAGACTGTATAAAAAAAGTAGACTAAGCAAGTCTGACGTCACCCATAGTGTTCAGCATCACTCAAATGAAGCTCGTGATGCTAACGGTTACGGGAGCGAATTTGGATCTAGGCTTTATATTATGAATAGGATTTTTCAGCCACAAGATCATATAGAGTGGATTAATATGAACATTTTAAGACCAAAATGACGAGGGTCACGGCAGCAGGCACAGAGAGGGACGAAAATATTCTAATGTAACTCTATGGGAGCCAGGGTCAGTAGGAGCTGGAAGAGCCTCCTGACTCTTCCCACTTCCCACTTGGAACGTGGCAGCTAGCGCATTAGCTATGTCCATCGATATATATCTATCTATGGAAACCACACAGAAACTCAATTTAAATGACTTTATCATTGGACTTAAAAGAGTATAAACTTGGACGACTATTGGTCAGTAATTTCTAAACACAGACTGAACCCGGTCTAAACTGTGTCAAAGCATGAAAAAGAAATATGCACCGCAGTATGCATTTTTAATTGACCTTTTAAATATACATAAACATTATAGCAGGCACTTTCAAAATAAAAGGCGTACACTGAATATCAAAGATTGTAAACTGATATCAAAATCAGATACCATAGGATGCATATAGTAGTCATGTAAGTTAACACAAATAAATGAATAAATAGTATGAAAATGAATTGAATAGAGACAACATATGTAATTATGAAAAAATGGGAACTTTAGAAGGTGAAATAAGTGGGCTATTCACTTAGTTCAGATTCAAAATAAAGGAGAAATGACTGGCAGGTTTTATGATAGTTTTGAATTGATCCAATTACAGTAGGCCTATATCTCAAGTGTTCAAGCTTTAAATGGGTCATGTCTTCTTCCACCCAAAGTAAACAAAATAACTCCTTTGTCCGACTTGAAGATACTTGCAGACCCCACTGGTACAACATAACCACAATTTCAGAAACACAGATACGACCCATTTCAGTTGTAATAAACATGAACCATATTCCTGTGATTTCTCTTCCCCAGATCTGTCCCAACATGTGGTGTCAAATTGTAAACAGGCCATGGAGCTTTTGGAGGAGGGCATTTCCAACCGCATCACCGCAGCAACCCACAACCACGATGCCAGCAGCCGCTCACATGCCATCTTCACCATCCAGTACACTCAGGTCTGCGCTTATTACCATTGAATTTATCTACTTGAGAAATTTTTTGGTCACAGTAGCACAACAGTTTATTTAAAACAAATTAACATATTGAAAACAGTGAGTAAAAAAGGTTAAAATTAACTAATTATGCAGCCTACGTGCCAGTATTTATTGCATTTAGGCTCCTTCAGAATCATTGTGTTGTGGTTCGTAATTTAGTAGTTCAGTTGTTCAGTTGTTCATTTGTTAAAATATGTGTTTTGCGTTGTGTATCTTTAAAGTTGATTGTGTAACTTTTCTGGTGGAGGGTCCGTCAAATGCTATTCCTTATGGAGATGTTATTGCTTTGTCTGGAATGTTCCACATTGTTCAGTTACAGGTGTTACACAGTTACATAGTTACAAAAGTTATACAGTGCACCTTTAATGCAGAAATATCCCTTCTGAAAATGTAATGCTTTATTTTTTTTATTTACTAAGCATTTTGTCCAGACAAAAATCATGGTTTGCATCAAATTGTTTATGTATTTATTTATTTATGCATTCATTAAAAAGAGGACTGCAATTTTTTCCATAGGCAATTTTGGAGAACAATCTTCCATCAGAAATTGTCAGTAAGATTAACTTGGTGGACTTGGCTGGAAGGTGAGACCCCCTGTTGCTTTTTCTGCCTTTTAATCACATTCAAAAATTTAATCAAAGCTGCCCCCTAGTGGATCATGGCCACAATTAGTAATCTGTATTTTTATTTATTTATTCCCCTATTCCCATCTGTGTGTGTATGTTTTGATAGTGAAAGAGCCGATCCAAACTACTGCAGAGACAGACTGACCGAAGGATCTAACATAAACAAGTCACTGGTCACTTTGGGCATCGTCATCTCAGCTCTGGGTAAAAATGACATTTGTTTGAATTGAACATGTATGTTTTAAAGTTCAAGTTCTTCACGGTTTTACCTCTGTTTACAATTATTAGTGACAACATGACAAACAATGAAATCCTTGAAGGTCTTATATTATGCAGAGTTGACTCTTGTGAGCTTTAAGCCATGTTACAATGTTGTTTCGTATTCAAATACATACCCAGAGTTATGTTTTGTTTCTTTCACACATGCCTTACTACCCCTTTATCATTAGTCTGCTTACATCTCTAAAGTTCAAAATGCTCTGTTCCACAATGTGATGGCATGAGGAGGTAGTTTTCAAGTTAACAGCTATCTTTTACCTTTTGCGAGATTAGGAATTCCAGGGCTGAAAATATCCAAATTATTCTAACTCCAGGTATGTTTTTAATGCAGAAACAACATTATTACATAGATCAGAAAATAGTGTAATATGGGCCCTTTATTTTTATCAATAAAGTGTTAATATAAAGTTAATGTGATTTAATTTGGCCTCTAAATGGTCACAATTACATATATATTCCTTGTTATATCGTGACCTGAACTGATTAACTGAATAATCTTGATATCCTTAGTCTGTATAATTATCCACAAATGTGCAGTTAATCAATTTTCCCCCCAGTTTTTATTCCCAGTTCTTTCACATTTCTCACTCTTTCTCTAGCCCAGAACTCACAGATGTCCAGCAGCTGTCAGAGCATTAACAGTGTGGCCTCTGAAGGGGAGAGCACAGGGGGGAGCCACAGCAGCGCTCTGTCCGATAGGGGAGGGGGAGGAGGAGGAGGAGGGGGGAGGAGGCACTGCTTCATCCCCTACAGAGACTCTGTCCTCACCTGGCTCCTTAAAGACAGTCTGGGTGGAAACTCCAAAACCATCATGATCGCAAGTGAGTGCAATAGGAAATCTGGTTACATAAAGGGTGAAGTGTTCCCCAAATGTTTGAACCAATTTAATATATAAGATTTAGTTTAACCATAAAATGTGCAGGTTTGATAATATGAGGGGTTGGACCTAGTATTTTCATATATACAGGAAAATCCATGAAGACTCTGAAGATTTTGGTAAAACATTTTAAAACATAAAAACATATATTGTTTACTAAATAATTAGTGGTACTCCTATTAAACACAAATGTATGATTGTTTACAGGTGAATAGCCACAAAACATATTCATGGATTTCAGACTTCCTGACTTGAAAGACTTTGTGAGGACCCAGTGAGGACCTTTTCCCATTTAAAAGATAATAATTTGATTTGAATTGCTTAATTTGCTTGAAAGTGTCCCATGATTAGGGTTGAACCCATGTGAAAACAGTGAATCGCCCATGGAGTTATAGCCCCTGTACGCCACCTGAAATCATAGCATCATCACATTTTTTAACATGAATCTACAAACCCCAGCAACCACATTATAAAATGCCATTGTGTCCCTCGGCAAGGCACTTCTCCCACTTTGTCTCTTGTGTTGTATGTTGATGTGATTTTATTTGCAGGGATAAGTCACAGCAGCTTGTCATTTTACAAACTAAAGAACCTCAAAATAGTTCTGTACCAGTAAATCCCCTGCTATTTAGAGACATCAGTATTCAGTATTTCTTCTCTCAAATCTGTGTTAGAAGACACCCCTCCGGATAGCAGTAAAATTATGCATTCAGAAAACATGTCACTCCCAGCCACAACCACATCTACTGTAGTGTACACCTCTCTGTTGACGCCAGCGCTAATTAATGTTTACATGTGTCTTTCTTTGTGTCAGCTGTCTCGCCATCCGTCAACAGCTACAACGAAACCCTGAGCACGCTCCGATACGCGGCTCACGCCAGAAACATTGTCAACAAACCACGCATAAATGAGGTCAGTGGCGGATTTCAAAATGTGCCAAGATTTTAAATTTTTGATAATTTTCTCCCCCCAGTCTCTTGATGTGCGATTTGTGTGCAGGATGCTAATGTTCGACTGATCAGAGAGCTGAGAGAGGAGATTGACAGACTGAAGAGCATGCTGCTTAGCTTTGAAATGGTATCACAAGTGTTTAATATTATATACTGGTGGTTTGAGTGGATGCCCCCTGCTGGGCTTTTGAAAAACAACTTCTGTGTTTTCACAGTTTTGCAAGGAGGCACATATTTTATTGTAAAATTTGACTTTGTTGTTTGTGATTGACAGCAACGCAATCCCAGTCCTTCCCTGAGTGATGAGAGGGATGGGAGTCTGTCTGACATTGTGCTGCAGAATGAACTAAAGGTAACAGAAGGTCAATGTAGGCGCTTAGATCTTTGTTCAAACTGACAGTGAATTTACCATAGAAAAATACAGGTCAACAGGCATGGGACTATCCAGTTCTGTGTCAATCTTTACTTCAGTTGAGACTTGGTATATACTGTCTATGTCTTGTGGTGCAAACTGTTTCATACTGGGTAAGAAGAGAGTATCACCATACACACCAATAGAACAATTTTGAGATTGAAATGACTACACCAGTACTCTCAACTGAAGAAGAAAAAGAAAATAACTGAATTGAACATATCTTAAGACCTATTTTAGACTATTCCTGTGTCTTTATAAAAGAAAGAAATACACAATAGGGAAAAAAAATCTATAAATGAATAAGACTGAATCATTCGGGCTCTACAAACAATGAAATGGCTCTCATTACGTTACATTACATTACAGCTTCCTCACTGTATTTTGTCCAGGTGGAGCAGCTTACTAAAGATTGGTCAGAGAGCTGGAGGGACAAACAGGAGCTGATGGAGCAGTACAGTGTGGACATAAACAGAGACCAGGCCGGAGTCTTCATAAACTCACTGCAGCCGCATCTAGTGACCCTGGACACAGACGTCCTCAGCACTGGAGTGGTCTTCTATCACCTCAAGGTACAGAAGACCTTTCACAGTTTACAAAACTTTTTGTTTTGTTAGCATGAGACATTGAGATATAAGGGAACTAACTGCAATCCATGCATTTTTCTCAAGTCTATGCTAGCTAATTTGAGGCTTTCAGGAAGAACCATAGACATTATACATAAATGGACATAGCTAATCCACTAGCCACCGCAGTCCAAATAGGAAGTGAGCATGTGCTCGCTTCCAGCTCCGTTTATTCCTCCCATAACTGCCAGCCTCGGTGAGCTTCATTTGACTAGTCCTTTTCTTTATACAGTCCATGGGAAGAACACTGTTTCAGATGCACTACGTAACTTTTCTGGTGGAGGGACTGCTGAAATTTTATATCGCCATGGAGAGAAGTAGACCAAGTTACAGGTCAGATCTGTAGAGTGACAACGTCGGTCACAGTAAAACACATATTTTTAAGGTATTTTCAAGCAACAAAAAATGCAAGATACATTTATTGCCACACTTTGGAACAGGCAAAACAATATTAGCTCTTTGGAGACAAGCAGGTGGCAGACCCTCCACCAGAGAAGTTGCATAGTGCCCCTTTAAAATATAGATGTAAATTAGATCACTTATCCATTTTCTTCCTCTTTATTCTGCCCGCGGATAAAGCCTAAGAAAATGGATGGATAGATCACTTATTTACAGGTTAGACTCGAAGCAATTATTTTAAGGTGCCAAACACTCTCCCACTATGCCCTTATCACAACCTTTAAAACAGTATTGCTATTGTAATGTTTTATTGTTTTTTTTAGCTTTAACTTCTGTAGAGAATACTTTATTATGCATCATTGGAGTAACAGTTAAAATAATCTCTATTTGTCTTTATACTTCATATCAAACTCAGGACAAGTGTTTTTGTCATAATAAATTAAAGGAAAGTGTGTGACTGGTTAGAAGAAAAGTGCTTTTGCACAAATTGTAGAAATATGTCCAACTTGATTCCAATCCTCAGTTGCCTTATTTTTTGCAATTGCTCTACTTTCTCTTTGTCTCTTTCGTTGCTGTTTTTGTCAGCTGTCTCGACTAAACCCAAATCTTTTTATCTACCAGATTCTCTCCTTCCTCCTCCATCACTTCTGTGTCTCTCCTCTGCTTTCTGCTACAAAACTCTTGAGAGAAGGTGCGTTTCTATTGGATACTTCCTCCTTTTTTTCCTTACTCTAGTTTCCAACTGTCCTGTCATTTTCCCCAATCTCTTCTCCTTTCCTTCAATGCACAAAAGCCTGGTTGGATAAGATAGTGTTAGTTCAGAGAATGAGGCCCACCCAAGGGAGATGGGGGTGTCCTGAATTCGACAATGACAAGAGCACCCCAAGGCCTGACAATTACACTGCTTCTGCTTGTGAAGAGGGGAGCCACCAGGGAGTGCAATGGTCCTGACACTGTATAAAGAAGATAATATTAGCAAGTCAACACAGTGGGTGCAGACTTCTGTTTCTGGAAGGAAAGTTCCTGTTCATTCTCCCACCTTGCCACCTATTTGTTGCCATGGTTGCTGCTTTGTCTAGAATGTTCCACAGTGTGGCCTTACTGTACACCACCAGTCAACAGTTTGGACACACCATCTCAGTCATTGTTTTCTGTACTTTTATTACTTTCTATTTAATACATATAGACATCAAATATATAAAGTATTAAAAGTATTGGAATTGTGTAGCAAAGAAAAAATAACTCTAATTTTAAAATAATACTAATGTAAAAAACATTGAATGAAAGGATGAGTCCAAACTTTTGACTGGTAGTGCCTTATAATACTATATGCAGCATTTAGCCAATTACAGGTGTTTTAATTGCTTAAGAAAACATGCATTTTTACTATGAGCGTGGTAGCCTCTCCCCAGATCAGATTTTGTCATTTGATTGTCTAAATCAATCTATAAATTGAATGCCATACAATGGAAAATCAAACACATTTCCATTGAGACAAACAGTTACATAGTTCACCTTTAAGGCTATGGGGATAAAGAAATGAATTTTACTTAACAGAATTTGAAGTCCCCTCTGTTGAACTCAATTAGAATTTAGTTTTGTTTCTTAATTGGGGTTCCATGATTTACAATGTTTAGTAGTTCACAATGGATCATTTTTAGCAACACAAAATGGTTTTCTGCATCACTTAATTTGGGCCACATTTTAACAGTCTTGTCCCAGTGGGTCTTAATGAGTCTGGCAAAGAAATAGTTCTCTAGTACTTTTGTTATTTTCTTTTAATTAAACATGGTTCAATTCCCAAGTCCATATAAGGGGAGTGAATAGCATTAAACGTAGGAGTAAAATTTAATCCCAGTCATCCAGGTAGAATCGATAGCACAAGAAAAAATTCAGTTCTGTCAAATGGACAAAAATGGACTTAGCTAACAAACAGAAACTGTAAACGTTTCAGAGTAGTTTCAGTGTAGTTACCTCCTCTTTTCAGGTTGATGTAGGCAGTGTCCACCAGCGTCTGACCAGAACTGAAGAAGCCACTTGATCAGTTGTGAAACCTCTTCATTCAAAAAATGTCCAGTTGACAGAATTTTTTCTTGCTATTCAATACATAGTATACATAGCAATATAGAAAGATCTCTGTAGGGTAAACAATCATAATTATTGCTTAAAAATGTATTGATTGCTACAGTTAAGGTGGTGTGAAGACATAATATTTGCATAAGTCTAATCATCTTTTTTACACATGTATTTTATATGTACATTGTTAATCTTGTCTTGCAGGAGGGGATAACTCGCATTGGACCACAGGACGGGCTTGGAGCTGCAGACATAGGTATTATAATAAGCCTATATTACTGATCCATCTAATATTCCTGTACAAACATTACTGTATACAGGGATGTAATGTATGCTAATCTGAAAAGCCTCTTAAGGGGCACATATTACAGCTGAGCACATATAAAGCAAACTGGTACATTTAGATTAAACATGCTGAATTAAATATAGATTATGGAGGAACAAAATAATGTACGCAAGTTATCTCTGAGAAACTGAGAAATTGGTTAGAAAGGCGCATATATTTTCCAGTGTATTGGGATGTGGTGGAAAATCTCAAGTGTATGAGTCATTATTATTCAAGTTTTTTATGTTTTTGTTATTGAACATAGATATTAATTAACCTGCTTTAATTTAATTTGCTACTTCCACCCCTCCAAATTGGTAATTAACAAAATGCTTCTACAACAGCTACTTTATTCACTAGTCCTACTACTAAGTTACTTTGAGTGTGTGAATGAATGAAATACATTTTACTGATACTAATATATGACTATATTACTGTCCCTATTTCTACTATGAGCACTATAGGTTTCAGTTTACTGTTCAGTTTCCATTTATTTTCTTTAAACAAAAAAATATGTAAGACAGCACTGAGGCAAATGTAGCTAGTTATTTGTATAAATAATAATTCAAACATTGTGAGTTTTTTGGGGTCAACTATGATCGACTGAATAAATATTTGGAAGCCAATATCCAATCCAGAAAAATGTTCAGTATCAGTGCCGATATGCAATACCAGTATCAGTGCATCGCTAGTCAATCTGTATATTATTTTGTTAGGACACACCTTTTGTGTAAATTCAAAAGTTAGTGACAAACAAAACTATTTTATAACAATATGCTTTGAAATGCACATAAATAACTTTCCTAAAAAAAGTAAAAGTATTTTGTACCTTTCTAGTGTTATGTCTTATTTCTGTATGTATGACTGCGTTTGTGTCCTGTAGTTTTGCCAGCAGATGTGGGATGTGAGATTGAAAACCGCAGAGGTGTGGTGACTCTGCACCCGCTCCCTGACTGTGTGGTTCTGCTCAACGACAGAGAGGTCACCGAGTCCTGCCGACTGGCTCAAGGTCGGACCAAATCCTCACAAATAACTCCAGAAATACTGCCTATATAACACTGCACGCTTTTACATTTACACTGCTACAGAGAATATTGTCCAGAAAAACTGCAGAAGAGGTCATTTGAGTTTGCTTGAGATTTTGGGTTTAACTGTATTATTGTTGAGATTTTATATTTGTATCTAAGTTTGTTTAGATACAAGATACATTTCTATCTAAAGACATGTTTAAATGGTACTATCCTAATCCTTATTTATTTCCAGGCTCAGTTCCATGTTTAGTCACAGTTTAATTCTAATTTTGATGTAGTAGTATTGACATTAATTTTCATTTTGGATCCTGACCATAAACACTGTTGTTTATTGCTTTTTAAAGCTTGCTGTAAAATTGAAGAGCAGAGGACAGACTTTCACATTTGATCCTTTTATTTTCCCTAACTATAAAGTACCTTAGCCTTAGTTAGAAATGTTTGAAAACATTCAAACATTCATGTAATAATGACTAATAATGTAATTTGTAGTGTTGTTATTTATGCCTTTTTCTCCCTAGAAAAGTGCTTTCCCGGCTTATATACCGCTTAAATACAGAACTGGCTTCTAACCTCATAAACTGAAAAGAAACCCATCCTTCATCCCCATCTGTACATTCTGTATTTGATTTGTAATTCACTTCTTGCTTGACAGTTGCAAAAGCGTGTTTAGTGTCTATCATTGACCCATATTTTCAAAATAGGCCAGTGCTTTTCTGTCACACTTAAGACCCCTCAATGTTACGCATGGATATATATATATATATATATATATATATAGACATACTGTATATAGGCTGCATTCACACACACACACACACACACACACACACACACTGCTGCAAAACTAGAACTAAACTGGGACTAAACACAGAAATATGAAATATAGGAAAAAATGAACTAAACTTGAAAGCGTCCTAGACTAAAGCCCAATTTTTGGTCATATGTCATATCGTCTGCACAAACTGTTTGCGTCACCTTGACTGACCTCTGAAATTTTGTAACTACGTGTCGAACCGACAGACAGCAAGGGAAAGTGACGCAGACAATAAGGGCTGTGATTGGCCCTCTCTACATACATTTCCGGTACTCTGTTTTCCCGCTTCATTTTGTATACACGAACACCATTTTAAAATCCTAGCTCCCTAGCATTGTGGCGGTGAATTACTTTGCGGTGCATAGACCTCGACGCAGATCCATAAATCAAAAACGACGGCGACAAGGCGACAGAGACAGTGTGCATTGAGTCGACACAGAACTATAATTCAGCCTTAAACCAGGACAAGAACTGTACCAAACCAAGTCTACTTGGACTAAAATGGGATCAAACCAGAACCAAAATCAGATTTCAACCAGGACACACAGACCTCAACAATATAGACATTAAATTGGGACTAAAGTAAATTAAACTTGGACAGGACTAAACCAGGACTTCCAAGACCAAACCAAGTCAACACTTGCTCACGCCACATTAAAATTGGGACTAAACATGAAAATAATCCTAGACTAGACCAAGACTAAAACAAGTCTAACTCAGGACTAAATCTAAACCTGGAACTAGACCTAGAATAACCCAGGTCAAGAACTTGACAAAAACCTAATGAACCAGGATCAAACTAGGACAATAAAAATAGAACTAAACACAGAAATAAACCTTGACTAGAACAGGCCTAAACCACATCTACATCAGTACCAAACCAGGACTAAGCGAACACATGTATGAACACAGCCTTAGTTACAGCAGACCCCACAGCTCTTTGTCCTCATCTCACTCAGAGCTCAGTTAAAGCGTACAGCGCACAGTAGTTTGTGAAGTGAATCCTGCTTGTGTGTGTTTGTCTCCAGGGGCTGTGATCACCTTGGGACGAGTGCATAAGTTACGCTTCAACCACCCAGCCGAGGCAGCCCTCCTCCGGGAGCGCAGACGGGTAGGTGCTGCTTGGATGGAGCTAGAAATTACGCACTTGGAGAAGATGATGGCAACAGATGTACTGCTCAGACCCAGCAACGTGCAAAACTGAATATGAAGTTTGATGCATATTTGTGAATCTTGATTGTGAATTGTAAATTTGATTACTAATGTAGTTACATAGGAATAATTCATATAAATTCTCATGTGGTTGCCTATGTTTCCAGTTCAATGAATCCAGCATGCAAATTTTGATCTAAAGTTATACACGCATTTCTGAGTCTGATTATTGTAGTGAGTTTAGTGTATGTTTTTAGGGCATTTATTTGAATAATTAAACATGCACTATGTAATGTTTTCTAGTGGAGGTCTGTCCCCATGGAGGTGTTAAAGGTGCATTGTGTAACTTTTCTGGTGGAGGGTCAATCTCCTTGTTTCTATGGATATGTCATTACTCCGCCTGGAATGTTCCAAAGTATGGCATTAAACAGCTCTACCTTGCATTTAGAAAATTACAACTCAAAAATACCTAGAAAAACAAGCATTCTGACTGTGAATAGAGTTGCCTCTCCACATATTTAACCTGTAACTTAGTCTGGTTTGGTCTCCATGAAGTTAGAAAGGTTTAATACCATACTATGAAACATTCCAGACAAAGCAATAACATCTACACAGGGAAAAGCATCTGACGGACCCTCCACCAAAAAAGTTACATGTTTTTTACTTCTAAAAATACCTTGGCTGGTCCGCCTGTTCACAGATCTGGCCCGTAACGGCATGGTAGCATCACCTGCTATTCCCCATGGAAATAGAAAAGTTTAATGCCATACTGCATTAATATCTCCATGTAGAAGAACAGGACCCTCCACCATAAAAGTTACTGATACTTCCACCAGAAAAGTTACATGGTGAAGCTTTAAAGTTGTTTATATGAAGACTATCAAACCTAATGCTCATGTCTGTGTTTTCAGATCAGTGAAAACAGCCTGACCAGCTCCTACACTGATCTATGCAGCATGGACCCAGAGAACAGGTAATTATGATGTTGTGATGTTTTATTAATTTATAAGAGGTAAATAGATACTTTAACCCAAGTAAATCAGACAGCTGTAGCAATAATAAAGTAATATTTTTCTTTTCAAAATTTTGGGGGGCAGGAGCGCTACTTGGATATACAGAAATTGTGCAGAATTGCTCTTTGAGTGCTCTTCAGTGTAGGGACCAGTCTCAAATACAAAGTTGAAAAAACTGAGGCACTTAAAAAGTACAAAATATTTAAAAGCCTTTTATACCACATGGCAGATAAAGTTAAAATTACATCAACACATTTTGGCCCTTCGGCCTTCATCAGGGCAAGCATATTTTTCTTTTCTTTTTTATCAGTAGGTGATCCTGTTTCCCTATGGAGTCATCATCTCATCTAAAAATAATCCTCATTGAATAACCGGTCTGTGTTTCCTAGTTACCGTTAAGATGCTAAACTCAAGTCAACATAGTAGCTCCCTTTTACTTATAGAGCAACACTATTTCTAACTTACTCTTCAAATTTGAGACATCAGATCATCACTCTTTCATCATCTCTTCTTACATTTGCCGTTTCATCCTCGTTCATTTTTCATTTTTTGTGATTCTTTTTAAGTGAGAAAGACTTAAAGCTGGAGGGGCAGCAGGGTGCCAGTGCCTCCCCCGAAGACGAGCACAGAGCCAGGCAGAGGGTGGAGGAGCAGCAGCGTCTGGTGGAGAGTTTGAGACGAGAGATCCAGAGCGAGCAGAGACAAGCTGACAGAGACCTGGAGAGAGAGCAGGCTCACCTACGACTGCAGCACAGTGACAGTATGTACTCTGGTTTTAAACATAGACTCAAGTTTCTTAGTACCACCTGGGGCTGTGGAATAGTGGACTGCTGTGGTGAACTTTGAGGTGCATTATGGGACTTTTCTGGTGGGTGGTCTGCTACCTGCTTGTCTCCATGGACATTTCATTGCTTTGCCTAAAATGTTCAACAGTATGGCCCTAATGTTATCAGTCTTGCATTTGTTACATTAGAGGTGTTGCTGATGTTGAAACCATACATTCGTACTGTAAGCAGACTTGCCTTTTGACAGACCTGACCTGTAACATGGCCTGGTCTCGTCACTTGCTTATCACCATGGAGAGGGATACAAATATCAAAATCTTGGAACAAAAACAAGACATAGATAGATAGATACTTCATTGATACTTTATTGATCCCTAAGGGAATTCACTTTTTTTTCTTTTTTTTTTTTTTTTTAGATAAATAGATACTTTATCAATTTACTGGTTCATACAAAATGCTAGCTCAAGTCCCACCATTGCTTCTATTTTTATATAAATAAAGATATGTTTATTAAAAAAGAAACACATTCATGCTCTATAGTATATGTTTTATATATTTATGATATTGTATCACCATCCATTGTGACATAACAAGAAAAAAATTCTGTCAACTGGTTAAAAGTATTAGAGTGAAGACATTTTGAAGAAGCTGCTTGGTTGAACAGTGAAACATCTTCATTTTAAAACTTTTGTCCTGGACAATTAAACATATATCCACTGTGACACACTAAAAAACTCTGAAATCTAATCTGCATTGTCTCTTTCCATAGTCCAACAGTGGATCTTGTCAGAACAGCAGCGTTTGACGAGTGCTGAGCAGAGGACCACTCAAGAGTCCAGTGTTCAAACAGACCTGAGCCTGGGCCCAGTCCTTGAGAGAGTCACAAACCACATATTTACAGACGAGAACGGCCTCCCAAACAACACCCCATCACAAATCACCAAGGCCAGAAAGAAAACTGTCCAGGAGGAGCTACTCAAACAGTATGCCCTACACCGTACGGAAAGCAGAATCAGAAGGAAAAGACTGCAGTATCAGCTGGAGAGGATCAGACGAAAGCGATTGTTGCTGGAGGCCAAAAAGGAGCTACAGCGGCTGGAGAAAGCCTTACCTCCTGGGTCAGACAGCCCTGGTTCTCCTGAGCTGGGGTCCCCTTTGAAACAGAGAGAGGAGAGCTTTGGGTCCAGAAGGCACTCATTTTCAGTGGATCTTCTATCTAGACTTTACCCTCAACACCCGCCAATCTACAAGTAAGTACAAGCAGATACTAGTAGATTACCCACTCAGTTGTTAGTCAGTATTGTTATTTTCTAGGGTTATAAGATTGAAAGAAAATCACAGTTTGAATGGATGAAATTAGTAAATATTAACATAATTGTGTTTTTATTGTGTTTTTGGATTTTTATTGGAGTTGTAGCAACTGAATAATTTGAGGATAAAGAATAAAGTGTTCTAATTCAGAAAAATAAAAAAAAAATGACACCACAGAGCTAACTTGCAAGATCAGATTTGTGGGGAGGCAAGCCCATTCACAGTAAGAATGCATGTTTTTAAGTCAATAAAAACACATGTAATTGAGTAAAGGGAAGATTGATAGTTTAACGCCGGTCTGTGATGGACCCTCCACCATAAATGTTACCTTACCATAAGTGCACCTTTAAATCTGTATACAACCTGATAACCTTGTAGTTTATTCTTCTACTAACGTGTTTTGAAATGTGTAGATTGTTATATTAGTTTTGCTGTTTCATATTTCAGTCTTCTTTAGAAATCACAATTACAACAGCTGACAGAAAAATTTGGTACAATATTTTACTAAATTATTCAGCTCTTTTATTTTCCATTCTAGTTTAATTTAGTGGTGGCAAATCAACTGGCTGCAGGTTACATTAATATTAATGCATTTGGATAGATATGCAATGAAACCTTGGCAGGCTTAACAATGGACTTAATAAAATAAGTGTTGCAATTTGAATAGTTACTTCTTTATATTTTAAATAGTTATAACAAACAGTATTGGAATGTTGCATAATAATAATATAAAATATGATTTGCCAAGTGACCTAGAGCTTTAGGACCTATGTTGCAGTGTACAGAGCACATAACCTGTAATATAGTGAGACTGATTCCTGGCTTGGACAATTTGCTGAATGTCTCTCTCTACTCTTCACCACACAACTGACTGTATGCCTTCTTGTCCATTATAGTTATGTTATATATTATGTTGTTATGTCATCAAAACATACCTGAAGTTGTGTTTTGTTTAATCCACACTTGTTTGAGTAATCCTTTATTGTTAGTCTGTGTACATCTCCAAACCTCAAAATGTGCTGTTCCATCACCTTGTGATGAAATGAAACTGTAAATTTCAAGGTAACAGCTACCTTTTATCTTTTGTTCAGTAGCAGGAGAGTTGTGCAGTTATGGGCTAAAATTCTCCATGATTCTAGTGAAGTGTACAGTTTTTAAAAACACAGTGGAGCACTTCCTATATTACCACATAATAGTGTGATATGAGCCCTTTAAAGATACTGACCCAGATAATTACAAAAAATACACTTTTGCTATATAAATCAATTTAGTCCTTATAAACACGCATGATTGACTGCTATTTTCTATAATGTGACATCCTTCTGTGTATATTTTAACAGGCACTTCCTGAAGAGAAACCGCTCAACAGATCTCAGCACCAACTCTCCGTCAAACCCGGGCGACAGCAGAGACTGGGCTTCTGATGAATTTATTCCACGGGAGAGGACTCAGAGCTGTTCGGCAGTTTTTCCGAGAGAAAATAAGTTTATCACAAGCCGAGGCAACTCCACGGAAAACATCAGGCAAAATCCCATACAGGAACCCCACACATCACCTACGCCATCTTCAGATCGTCCAGAAAGAAAACCACTGCTGCCAAACAGAGAATTGAATTTTAAAAACAGGACAAATCAGAAATCACCGGTTATTCTCAACTCACCACCAGGAACAAATATCCAAGCATTAAGCAAAGAAAATTCACAGTTATCAATAAACAAACTAGTAACTAAAACCAAAAATGATATGAGTATTAAAGCAACAACTCACAAACAAAAACAAAACAATGGAGAGATAAAGCAAGTTTTTTCAGGATCACGGTTTAAATCAGCCCTGTCAAAGGTGTTCAAAAAACCTCCTTTAGGTACAATACGAAGCCATAAACAATTGGGAAGACTAGCTGGAAAACTTCACATGAGACAACGCAGGGAGAAGGATTTCAAAACAAAACATAAATGTACAATTAAAAGCGCTTTTTCATGTGAGGAGCTGGACCAAAGGACAGTGCTAGCAGATGTTAAGCAAAGACGTTGGAATAGTACAGAAAATATGAATAAGACTTGGAAATGGGTGGAGAAACAGCAGGGGTTGTGCGGATGGGAGGAAGAAGAAAGTGATGAAGATATAGATGGTGGGCACTCTGATTGTGAAAGTAGTTTTTCACTTGATTCTCTGTCTTCGGCCTATGCAACAGCTTTAGCAGAGCAGCTAAAACATGAGGAAGAAGCTAACAGTGATACAAGCGAAGATAGTGAAATGTCTAAGGACTCACTGGCTATAGAGGCAAATAGAAACTCCTCTGCAAAGTCCCAAAATACATTTGCACCGTCATACCGACTGGTCACAGATGATTTTGATTCATCTTCAAATTTCAATAAAACAATAACAAGTTTGAAAGCTCAGGTAAAGCCAGCAGAGGATTACTGGAGTCAACAAGGTGGTGAAAAAGCAAAAGAAAATGCTGAAGCTGGCCAACATTTTAAGCACAATATTGGAGCAAATCCAGAAATTAAAAACCCAGCTCACAAAATGGTTGGCGAAATTGGTACCACTTCTGTTAACAGCCCACAGTTTGTGAGTAGTTGTAATTATAGAGACCAGGAAAATCAACTCACAGATGCTTGGTCATCTACTGAGGCAGGGGATAGTCCAAGAATTCCCAGAAATTCTCTAGTTTTCCAAAAAAGGATTAAGTATGGAGGAGTAGACATGACCAGCAGTGATAGCCCAGTTAGCATGAGTTCTGTTAGCGGGTCTACTAACTCAAGCATTGAAATTGTAGAAGAAGAAAACACCAAAATAGCTGAATTGAATATTTTTAGTAGTTGTAATGTTGGTCAAACTGGGCAGTCAGCAGTTATGGTAACACCTACTGAATTCTGTGACAGCAACAATTCACTAGCTCCTACCACACAAGTGTCAAAAGTCAAATCGCTTAAGGTTAGAAACGAAAAACAAAAACTGGTGACAGATGACATTACTGAAACGTCTTCGAGTTGTCAAACCATACCAGGGAGCCACGGGCAAATACTGAACACTGTTACAGCAAATGCCTTTAAATACGGTGACAATACTGAGCTATGCGGTGAAGACAGCTATCCAGAAATGTGTACAGATCAATTTGAAAACACCAAAGACTCATCTCATATACGTCAACTTGAATCAAATAAAAGGGAAACCAAAGACACTGAGCAGGTTGGCGGACTACAACAGGAGCTCGTAAAATGGACTTGTAAAAATGCCAGAAAGAGGAACAATGACGAGGAGGATTTAACGGGAAGTTTGAAAATTCCCAAAAGGAGCAACAGTAAAGACTTTGAAACAGACTGTGCTACAACTGCAAACAGTCAAGACCATATTTGGGTCAGTGATGATAGCAATATAGAGGATTCCAAAGACGCAGGAAAGCCCATATATGGATGTGTTGAAGATATGGGACAAAATGCAATGACTTCAACCCAAGTTTATGGTACATCAGACCATAAAAGTAGTGACAACCACAGTGTTGAGTTTACTAGCTCCTCTGTGCGGATAACACAACGGAAAACTGCATCAGTAAAGGAAGTAGACCCCAAGAGTGAAATTAAAACATCCTTTCAAAATAAAAATCATATTTGTCAATCAGAGGCGATATGTAGTGCAATTGATCTGAGAATTTCTGAAGTAGTGAATGAACACATGAACTCATCAGTGACACAGAATATGGACAAGAAAAGCAAATATTTGGATACCATGGCAACAGAAATAACATGTGATTTTGTTTGTGGTAGTCAAAAATATAGTCATATACAGAGCAATAGTTGCCCTGGTTGTGCTCAAGAGATTTTGAATGCTATAAGTAAAAGCACAAGCAGTGAGTTGGAATCATTAAAACTGACTCAGAATAAGGGTATTTCTGAGAAGTTGCAAAGTTCTTTTGGTTTGAAATATTCCACTTGTAATATCAATGATTCTATTGAACCTGCTACTGCAAAAATGGCAAAAAGTACAGACGTTAAATTGTGCACAGATGTTGGATTTCAAGATGCAGAGAAACATATGAAAACTTGTAATTTCAATCAAAGTCATGGTTATAAATCTTGTGTTCACGTCTCTTCTGATAGTTTCTGCACTGGAGGCAATTCAAAAGTGAAGTCGAGTTGTACTGAAGCTAAAGATGTAACAATAGCAGCAGAATTCACTAGCTGCCAATCACATGAACCAACTTCCCCTTCAAGGATGATTCAACAATTTCAAAATCTTTCTCACCTTTGTACCGACTCAAAATCACTCCCAAGTGATCGTTGTGTTTTCACTCCCGACACTAGTGCGGTTGGCAAAATAGAAAGCTTGCATTGTACAAAAGCAGTGGTGGAAAAATGCCCAGAAATGAAAAATTATTTGGGTCAAAGTGGCATGGTGAATTTGAATAACAAAAACCTGCCAAAATCCTTTCACAACCAGATTGGTTCCTGTTCAAATACCAAAAATGTAGCTGAACGATGTGTAGTGCAGGCTCTACAAAGAAAGCAAAATGATTCACAAAATGGCCAAAATAGTGTGCCTTTTGTTTTGGGTGATCTGGGTACAACTGATCAGCTGGCTAATGCTACTTTATTGACCAAAAAAGTAAAATCTAAAAGAATTCGAAGATCCACGAGGCAAGCTTATCCAACATCATCCTCCGACTCCTCTGCCAAATCTTCAGATGACGAAGACTGCAAAATAAACAAAGTGACTGAAGCAAGACTTGATTGCAAAAACTTTGAAAAAGCAAAATTTAAAATGCTTTCACCAGAATTTCAAGCTAATACTAAGCCAAACTGTAGCCAGAAGAGGCATTCACTGTCACCCAAAGCTTTACAACAAAAGACAGTCCGAAACATGAATTGTGATCAAAATCGTGTACTTGATTCGCCTATACATTTTGCCTCAAGTGACATTAACCCCTTTGTTCACCAATGGCAAGAAGATGAAACAAATGACAACTATAAAACACCTATATTTGGGAGTGCAGCCAATCTCTCATGTAAATCCCCCCTTTTAAACAGTGCTGAGAAACGTATTAGCAGATGCCTAAGCGTTGACAATGGTTTGAATAGGCAAAACTCACCTTTCATTTCGCATCTTAGTACATACGCTAACAACAAAGGATTGTCCAGTACTCTGAGCAGTGTTGAAGATTATAGACAGCCATTGCAACAGACCGGGGAGGATATCCACGCACATTTGGCCAGTCTCAAAATCAACACCACATCTTCGAGTAAAAATGGACCAATAGAAAATAACTCCAGTCATGATGAAATAATGTTTGTTTATTCTTCTGAACAGGAGTCCCAAGCAAGAACTAAATCCCAAAGACGCCGGACTTGTGAGCACAGCACTCAAACTGACAAACAAGCAAATTCTGATAGCAATAACAACAGCCTTAAGAGAAAAAGTAGACACCAGAGGAGCTATACAGACGGGCCGGCGACGCAGAGAAGCAAAATAAATATTAAAGCTTCATCGACTTGGGCTAGCATGGAAAGCATGTCCGCGCATATCACCAAATTGATTGACAGCACCTCGGACTTGCTAGGGGATGTTCAGGGCATGCGGAATGGTGAAATTCGCAAGATAAATTTGAATAAAAGTGGGAATTTGACAGATGTTTGTAACAGGTCAATGGAGACGAAAGATACAAAAGACGACTCTACACAAACTGGAGTTAATGTTGCAATTCAAACCGCAGAGAGTGAAAAATCCCACTCGCAAGTCAATGTTATTGTTGAAGTCATTGGTTCAAAGGTGATTGCTGTATCTTCTGACAATAATGTCGTTCGTTTGGATGACAGGGCTTCAAATGTGTCAAAAATAGAGATCAAATCCACTGGAACAGAAAGATCCAAATCTCAAATGGACAAGCGAGGACCTGTCCTGACCTCGGCTATAAAAACTACCAGCTCTGAATGTCAAAAGCGCCTGAAATCGTCATCTTCTAAAAGCTCAAAGCCTCTAAGTCAGCTCGAGGCCCAGAGCCACAAAAGTGCTGCCGGAACAACGGCGCAAAATCAGAGCTATTCTCCAAAGAGTGACCTATTGTGCAGTTCAAAGCAGAGGGCCACTTACATAGACCGTGCGCTATCTCCCATTCTCACAGTGGGAACGCGATTATCAGTAAACCACAAAGCAGAGGTGTCCATTGTGAGACACCAGGTCAGAAATACAAGCAATAAAAATGTGGAATCAAGAAAAATGAAATCGGAGGAGGTACCCGACTCAGAGCTGTCTTCAAATGTAGCTTATGAATCTCTTGATAATGAAATAATTTCAAATTTATCAGATCGAAGTCCAAATTCAACACTGGATAGAGATTCGGAAAGTGACTGGAAACAACATATGGACAATAGAGTGAATCAAATGCAACCAAGCTCTTCTCAAAGGACTCATAAAAGAAAAACAATTGATGCTATGCAAATGAAAACTATGCAGAATTATATATCTCAAATTGAAATACATAGTGACGTACAACAGCAGTTAGCAAAAAACCAAACTGAACTAAATAATTTTGACAATTCAGATGTCAAATTTTACATTGGGGAATTAAATGACAAAACAGAGCAAGATACAGCGTCTCTCGCACCAAGTGAATGCAATACGGACGTTCTTGTCAATATTGAGCCAATCAGAGTTGTAGCTCCAAGTCATGATTCTCAAAGACTTCCAGAAGACTTGCCTTTGCACAATAAATTCAAAAACTGGTCTGGGATCAACCACTGTCAATCAAAACACACAAGTATTCCCAACAAATCTGAATTAAAAGCTATTGAACAGAGTGAAAAAGGTGATTGGAAGGCTGTGGACAATTATGGGACCAATTTGCAGTCTATTCAGAGTGATAGAAAATTAAGAGAGATACAGAGACTGCGACTGGAAAGGGAGGAGGTGATGGCGACAGTGAGTTTAAGTATGAACTCAGCCCCTCTCTCTGTGGAGTTGACGGAGGCGAAACTACATTACGGCCTGGGACAAACAGACACACTGCTGAAGATGCTGTCTCCAGGATCCAGAGAAGAGAAAGAGGAGTCCACGCCGCCTGCACCCAGCAAACAACAGCTTTATAATGAGTAAGAATACTTCAAATAATACTTGTTCCAGTTAAAGTTGCTGTACCTGATTTTTACTATCTTAAAAATGTGAAAAACACAGCTAGCTCATTTTAAGCAGTTTACAGTGGACCAAAGTTATTCCTCACTTACCTTATGCATTTTGAGCATCCCAATTAGTCCTTTTTTAAGCACTTTTTACAACTTTCAGAGACCAGGGCAGTGTTTTGCCATCATGGTAAAGCTAATCACAACTAGCATGCTAATATACACTTCCTGATTATCAGACAATGAAATCGTTTATAATGATGATATGATATAATAATAATATAAAGAATAATAAGACACAGACAGAGGTATATTTTAACCTTGAGTGCTATTTACACAATATATCTGTACTGTGCCAAAAAAGATTTAGCTCAGATAGATAGGAAAAATCAGGTACAGAGCCCTTAATTTTCTTGAGCAGTTTTAGTTGTATCACGTTCCCAGCTCAAAAAAGAAGTTAGAACATATAAAATCAAGATGAGAAAAGAGAACAATATACTGTATGTTAAATAAAGGTTTTGCAAATGTGCTCAAAACTGGAGATGATGTAAACAAATGTATTACAAAAAATTCCCAAGATCTTATACTAATTATTCTTCTAATATTCAATGAATAAGTTAATTTAATAAAAATAAAGTATTATTTAAAAGATGAAGATTGTGATTAGATTCAGAATTCACTTTTACACCCTTGTTGATAATATAGTCCCATCTTTTTTTGGACATGGTAGCTAAAACATGTTAACATTTTATTTGTCCCACAGGCATCGTAAAAGCATTGATGGTCTGAGGCAGGAGAGGGAGGAGCGTCTCCATGGTTACCGTCGCACGCGTAGTTTGAGTCCCAGTAAAACCCTCAGCTCGCCCCTTCAGAGTCCGGACAGTCCAACATCCAAAACCTCCTCCTCCCCCAGCACACGCAAAGAGTACCTGCAACAGCGCCACCAAGAGGTCATTCACAGCACCAGGTCAGTCAAATATTAAACCTACAAACAAATGATCCAACCACATAATTATGCAAACACTTATAGCCCATATTATTCTATTGTTTGATTTATGTTATAATTCCTCTATTATTCTTATATTTCCTCACCAAAACATATATGCAGTTGTGTTTTGTTTTATTCAACACTATTCCACATTGTGATGTCATGTGGTAATATAAGAAGTGCTACACTGTGTTTTTAAACTCCACACACCCATATTAGAGTCATTTGGATGATTCTTCTTCACTGTTGACTTGAAAGCATTTGCTTCATGATCTCCAAGGTGGAACAGAGCATTTTGAGCTTTGTGGATGTAGACAAACAGACAATAATAATATGTTACTCAATTGTGTGAATAAAACAAAACACAACTCAAGGTTTGTTTTTGAGAATGTAGCAGCATTTTAACATGGCTTAAAGCTCACACATGATCTAAGACCTTTAATCTATTTCATTTCAGTTTCATGTCTTATATATTGTTCCCTTTATCATGCTTAAACAATGTGTGCAGCTGTGGAATGGGTTACCTTTGCACATCCAAACAGCACTTTAAATCTCTACTAAAAATGCACCTTTTCTCACTGGAATCTTATACGAGTTAGAGAGAGTGACATCTTGATTTTATATTATACTGTATTTTCACTGTCCTTCTTTATTTGTTTTAATACTTATACTGTTGTTGTGTTATTGTTGTTGTTCTGCACTTTGGTAAGCTTTGGCTGTTTTAAATGTGCTTTATAAATAAACTTGATTTGATTTGATTTACTAGGTGTAAACCAACTAGGCTTCAAGAAAAATCCAAGTTCAAAAATATTGTATTTTATCATAGCTGGGGAAACACTGGTCTAATGCATAATTGGTAATGTGAATAATAATTTTGTATAATTTTGCATCTCATATTTTTTATTCATGTTTTAATTTTGAATGCACTTTCTGCTTAATAGTGGTACAGCTCTTCTCCTTTTGCCCTGCAGAGTGTTGACTTGCTGACTTGCTATCTTGAGATAATTTCCCTTGTGGTTTAATACAATCTTTTCCCATTTGAAATTCTTTGTTTGAATTTGTCTGTACCAGCCCCCCTGACCCGGGCCTGGGGCGGAGCCGGTGCCCCTCTGACATCGAGCAGCTGCTGAGAGACTACAGCCGGGCGAGGGAGGAGGCAAGGGAGGAAATCGCCAAAGCCCGGGAGCGTCTGAGAGAGAGGACAGAGCAAGAGAAGAAGAGGATACAACAGCGGGCTCTGGCCCAGGACTGCAAGGTCAGGCTGGGGCTCCCCTTTACTGCAGCTGTACATCTGCTGCATAATCATGGTTCATTAATTATTGTCTTTTTATTGTGATGTGCTTCTTATGCATGACTTTGGTAATGAATATGTTTAATCTAGGCAAGGAAGAATTTCTCTCACTTGGGGTTTATTTATCTATCTAATTATGGGCAAAAGCAGATAAGTTTTAATGGTCCTATATTACACAAAATGGACTCTTATGAGCTTTAAGCTATGTTATAATGTTGTTACTTCATCAAAAACATACCTGAAGTTGTGCTTTGTTTCATTTGCACATGTTTTAAGTAACCCTTTATTATTAGTCTGTCTTGTCTACATCTCCAAAGCTCAAACTGCTCTGTTCTACCTCAAAAATGTCATAAATCAGTAGTTTTTAAGTTAACAGCTACCTATTACCTTTAGTTCAGTAAAGATTGGCAGTTCCAGGACTGAAACCATCCAATTTATTCTAGTGAAGGTGTATGAACTGTAAAATCACAATGGAGCACTTTCTGACATCACAAGGTGGAGCAGAGTGTTTTGTTTTTTAGAGAAGAACTCAGTGTAAATATAGAGGATTTCTGTGTTAAACATAATGAGGAAACAACATTATAATATAGATCTGAAAGTATTGTAATATGGGACCTTTAATGTGCATGACTTTGGTAATGAATTTGTTGAGCCGAGGCAACAGAGAATTTCTGTTGCCCGGGATCTGTCTGTCTATGGGTCTATTATATCTGTTATATCTATCTAATTACGGACACAAGCAGATAAGTTTTAAATATGCTTTAGGGCCATGTACAATTATTGGGGCTAGAGTGTTAAAAGTTGACTCACTAACTGGAAGGATGACGGACAACTGTCCACTCCAATAAAGCTTTAAAGGAAGGGCATCTGGTATAAAAATAAAAATGCCTGTAAAATCTCTCTGTGACTGGTTTGTAGTTTGTTACAAACAGTAAGGCCACAAGTTAAAGTTGCACTGCGTGGCTTTTCTGGTGGAGGTTCTGCTATATACTAGTCTACATGGAAATGTCATTGGTTTGGCTGGAATGTTGGCTGGAATGACATTAAATATATCCATCTAGCATTTATTAATTACAGGCATCTCCGTTGCTCAAAAATACACTAATTGCTTCTGTGAATAGGGGCAACTCTCCACAGCTCTGAATTGTAATGTAGTCTGCTCATTTTCCTTGTGTATAGATTTAATCTATACTGTGGGACTTTCTAGACAAAGCAATAATATTTCCATGAAGCCAGGTGGAGGACCCTCCACTAGAAATGTTATGAAATGCACCTTGTGCAAACAAAAAATGCAAACAAAATTACATACAACTGATGGTGGTTGTGATTGTCCAGGTATATATTTTTTTTGTTTTAATAGCATTGTCTGATGAATGTAATCTGTTGTTAATTATGACAAATATTAAGCAGACATGATAATTCCTATTGTATCAAAATGTAATTGTTGGAAATATTAAAATTTATTTGTGACAGGACGACCTGCGGCATCGGACCAGAGTCAGTAACAGCACTTTATGCACTGGCTCCAGTTTGAGCCTCTCCTCTGGGCCCACCTCTGGATACAACAGCGGAAACACTCACCTCCAGCACAGCAACACTTCTATACATGCACAGGTTAGTGAAATAATACATAATTACTAGATCTAGTTTTTATTCTTGCTATTTAAATGTGCACTGTGCAACTTTTGCGGTGGAGGGTCCGCTGTGACCTTACCACTACTATTGTTGTGCCTGGAATGTTCCACGGTATGACATTAATATGACATTAATAGGGCATTAATGTGACATTAATGACTTTGCGTTTACTCATTATGGGTAACCTGTAACCTACTTAACCTGTTTATTCTATACTGTGGAACATCAAAGCAATAACATTTCTGTGGAGACAAGCGGGTGGTAGACCCTCCACTAGAAATGTTATGCAGTGCACCTTTTAATGTATTTTGTGTGATACTAACTTATTTTTGTCATGTTTTTAGATGAGTTTGTCCCAGGAAGAAGAACAGAAGATCAGGGCACGTCCACCTATATGTGGTCCACAAAGTGTGAAGAACCAAAGAGCTTGGCTTTCTGCACAGGGTAAAGATAGATATGGTTATGCTATACAGTGTGTTATTACATTCATAAAATGGGATGGTGGTTGCAACTTCTGTTCATCTGAACAGTTGACAATGTAGGTCCTATTTGGTCCTATTTCAAGCATTATTCAGGACACTTGGTATTTCCTGTGTCATAAAAAATATGTTGTTCTGAAATACCTAAATGCCCCAGTTTGAATCAAATTTGTCTATTCAATTTCCAGCAGAGAATGCTTCTATTGACAGTGTGAAGTAGTTTATTTGAAGCTAAAAACAATAGTAGCTGTTGGGCTTAACTGGACAGATCAGTGGAGGCAATTTTAGCAGGTTCAGTGAAGGTTTATTAACTGAAAATACAGCATTAGTAAAACAAGTGAGAATGAAACAATCTTGTCTTTTGATAAGGATGACATTATAAAATTCTTGAGCTTAAAGGACCTATATCAGTCTATTTTCTTAGTCCATATTGTAATGTTGTTTCCTCATCAAAAACATACTTGGAGTTCTGTTTTGTTTCACTTACACAATATACAAACCCTACATAATTAGGCTGATTTTTTCTCTCAGACAGAAAACTCTCTGCTCCACCGTTTAATATCATGTGATAATACAGGAAGTGCTACACACCATACACTTTAACTAGAATCATTTGGATTATTTCATTCCTGGAATTGGCAGTATTTACTGAACAAAAGTTATCTGTTTACTTGAAAACTACTGCTTCATCATATGATAGGGTGGAACCAAGCGTTTTGAGCTTTGGAGATGTAGACAGAGTAATAATAAAGGTTCTCTCAAACATGTGTGAATGAAACAAAACACAACTCTGAGTATGTTTTTGATGAGGTAACAACATTCTAACAAGGTTAAAAGCTCATAAGAATCGATTTTGTGTAATACAGGACCTTTAAACCTGTGAGTCAGTGTAGTAAAGACCCTACATATCTATAAATGATACAATGCTGTCAACATGTGTTCTGAAAAAATGCTTTGAAATGTATTTATTTAAACAATTGTATTTTTAGATGTCCGCCTTGACCTCCCCGTGTCCGGATTTGATCCCATAATGACCTCCTCTCCATCGGTCCACTCGTTCACGCGTCACAGAGCTTCATCCTTTGGCTCCTCTTCCTCCATCTCCAACAACTATCAGGACATCACTTCCTCTCTGCATGCCCGGGCTCTGGCTGAGGTTTGTAGACCACAGATAAACACTTATCTGATCCAAACATCACAGGGCATCAGAAAATATACCTACATCTACACCACAAATATCATTTTACTGTTAGTGTACGTGTCTGTGTGTGCGTGTATTTCTGCCACATTTGTATATCCTACATTTGTGCAAGAAATATGTCACATTTAAAAATTGCTGAGAAATATTGCTCATTATGGATGCAATGATATTTGATATAATATCATAATGTCACGATTTGATACACGCATTCCCTCGATACGCACATGTCCTTCCCTGTACGCTGTGTTGTATTTTATTTTGGTTTGAAAGGGAAGCATTTAACGTGGTGTACTCCCAAGATTCACTGAGTAAACAGCTCAGATATAGCTGAGATATCCTAACAAAGGTGGGTTTTATCTTTTAGTCACTTTTCATTTTACATTGATAGACCCAGTAATGACAAAGATATTAACTTTTAAATGCTTTAATCAAATATGCTCTATGCAACTCGTGATATACACAGTCTTTTTTCAGACTCTATCTCATAAGTTTTAATCTGAAAATGGTCCATAGAGACATTTCTATGTAAAATAACACAGTTTTAGTGTCCAGAAAGAAAATGGGAAAATGCCCTGTCTCTGTTAAGAGCAGGGCAGTGTGGGAGGAGCTACTGTCTGTCTCTGCTGCTGCTGGAGACGAGGCAGAGCAGTGCGGACACAGGCATATGCGTGCAGTCAGAGGAGAGTCACACTCAGAAGGAAAAAAGAAAGTCAGACCAGGAGGAAAATAAAAATAAATCATCATCAAAAAAGAGGAAAAGTCTGATAGTGTAACTCCCCTAGCAGTCTATATTAAGAGTAGAGTGGCTATATTATAAAATATAAAATAGCCTGAGAAAGCAATATTCTTATTTTCACAGATTTTCACAGAAATTCTGAGCTGTGAATCACTGAACGAGATCAAATAAAACACATACAAACTACAACTTTATAGTAGTTGCACTGTAATGTATTGTGTGTAATTTATGTTTCAATATAATTTTCATTAATCATAGTGTTATTATATTATACTTATTAGCAGAATAAATTTCATGAGATTTTTTTTTTCGCATCTTAAAACATCAAAATGGAATTGATATCTTCACCTGTGCCTCGTGATACATATCGAATTGTGGGAAAACAGTACCGTTGCATCCCTAGCACTCATTAATTTTTGCAGGAATATACTTTAAGCCCAAGTTCCCCCATTGTGTTGTTCATATTAATTTCCCAGTTTGCACAATAGTATGTAAGTCATGGAGGGTTTCTGGAAGAATAGATATTGTATGTAGATTTAGAATACATTTAAAGATGCCGTACCTGACTTTATTGTCTTAATAATTCAAAAACAGACCTAGTTCTTTTTAAATATGGTCCAAAAGCTATTTCTCACTGATGTTTTGCATTCCAAGCATTCTAATTACCCACAGCAATGAGTTTATAAGCACTGTCATGGTAAAGCTAACAACAACTAGCATGCTTAGAGCACACTTCCTAATTCTCTAACACTAAAATGCTTTATAATTAGATGCAAATAATACGTAGCTGACTTATTTGACCTTGACAGATGCTTATACAATATATCTGTACTAGAGCAAGACACATTTTGCTCAAAAAATGTAAAAAAAAAAAAAATCCATTAATTTCATAGAAAATGTATCCTTAGGCATTAAAACTTTGCCATTGCAAGGTAGGTCCATAGTGCCTTGGCAGTGGTCTTCTCTTTCCTTGTATTTTGTACTCTGATAGATCTGTCTGTTTTTCTTCTTTTCCATAGTACTATTTTTTTTTTATTTTCCCCCACAGGTGCGACTTGCATCTGCAGGGGATCTTGGTAATTTGTTGACGGGAAAGGCCACTGCAGGCTGGAGGTTAGATTATTTATTTACTACAAAACAATGAATTTTCCCAGTAATTTTTCACATCAAAATTACAAATGTATTTACTTTTAGGTATGAAGGAGAGGAAAGAGGCGTCCATGCTTACTACAAACCCTCCTCCAGCCCCTCTGTGCACAGCTTTTTGGGGGCAGCCGACCTGAACAGACCCCTGAATAGTCTCTGGACTTTGATAAACCAAGTGTCCAAAAGCCACATGTTTCACCAGTCTGTCCGTTCTGTATGGACTCGGCCACTAGATGACAGCACTCAGCTGGGTAAGCCCTCACTAACATACCAGCCTATATATTTACATTTAAAGGCACCAGAAAGGTGGAGGGTCTGTTACCTCCTCGTCTCCATGGAGGTGTTTTTGCTTTATCCTAAATGCTCCATAGTATTGCATTAAACGTATCAATCTCCATGGAGACAAAAAAGTGACATCCTCAAGCCAAGCTGCACTGTCAGTTCTGTGGAGAGGTGACTCTGCTCCTGTTTTTTAAGCAATAAAAATGGAATAACTGCATAACTGAATAAATGCAAGACAGATACATTTAATGCTATACTGTGTAGTCGTACCAGTTCAGTAATCAAAGTAATCAAATCTCCACAAAAAAAAAAAAAAAAAAATCAGATGACAGACCCTTCCCCAGAAAAGTTCCATGTTGCGCCTTTATAGTCTTGTGTAAGAGAACATAGCATTTTTAGACTTTAAAAAAATATTTGGACACAGTAGCTCACACAACACAATAAATACTATAACAAAGATCAAAAATATAAAAGGTAAAAATAAATCCTAAGTAAGTAGCAAAAATAGAAAAAGACTGGTGTCAAAAGAGGCACAATTATATAAATGCATATGCACTACAAGTAAAAATAAATTGCAGAAATATAGTAATACAAATATATTTTTGCTAAATACAAGAGGTCGTATAAGGAGAAACAGTGCAAGGATGATATAGTGATTGACAGGATATAGGGTTATCCGTTACAGAAGGGTGAGTTGTTGTATGGAGTATGGCATGAATGTAGTCCTGTATCTCTCACTGTTATTTTTTTGTTTTTCTTGCAAATCTATTTCTGTTTTTGCAAAGCATTTTGGAACTTTCACCTTATACGATGCATTTGCACATTAGTTAACTGTGGAGCTTACAGGACAGAACCATTCATCACTGCACTGTCCCACCTGCTCTGTGTTGTACTTAATTTTTCTCCTTCTGGTAAAACTCCTCTACAACTTTCTCTCTTGAGTTTGTAACCACATGATGATAACAAAAATTCCTATTGTAGTTTTAGTAAAGACCAGTGGTGGGACATAACAAAGTACAAGTAGTAAAGTACTGTAAGTAATATTGTACCATAAAGTAAGTACACTTTTACTCGCTTACATACTTAATTACTTTTTGAATTCAAGCTTCAGCTTTGAGCTAACAAAATAAATACACAAAATTCATAAGAAAATTTAAGAGACTGATTTGTATTGCAACTGTTGACAAAAATCTGTGTCACTTTTTAATCGGTATCACTACATTTTAACAAATTAACAACACTTGTGTGAAATAGCCCTCCTTTTATTTTTTACTCTTAAAGTACATTTTAAACATTTACTTAAATACTTTTAGTTGATTTTTTCAAGTGATACTTTTACTTAAGTAACACAATTGAGTACTTCATCTGCTGCTGGTAAAGACATAGGACATAGGACATAGGGCAGTGATTCTCAAACATGTAATATTTAAATTAAGACTGAGCTGGTCTAAAATTCAGCAAGGTTGGGATCGGGTCTGAACCAGGTCTGAGCCAAGTCTAAACCAGGTCTAAACCAGGACAAACCAGATATCAACCATGACTATATAGGACTAACCGAGGAAGAAACAAAGACTGAATCAGGACTTTTTCTGGGCTTCTTCTTTTAAAGACAATATAGTGAGAGATGTATTTACCTCATTGTCATGTTTTGTGGCTGCTAGCTGCGAACCATTTTTATAACAGTTTACTATGTTATGTTTAAAAAGAATGCGGGGGGTTAATGTACAAGAGAAGACAAAAAGAAAGTTTTTTGGTTTAGCCTGAATTCAAATTAAATCATGAAAGACCTACAAATAAGAAATGAGAAAAGCAGAAGTGTCACTGGCAAACGCAAACTTTTCACACACAAAGACACCAAAAAACTAACAATAAATCTATCTGCAATACTCAGTTTGATTTTCCCTTTGTACCCCTGTCTCACATAATACTTGTTTCCCTGTAGTGTACATACTCAGTGATCCGTCCAGATGCCACCTGAGCCAGCCCAGGGACTTCTGCTGCATCAGCTCTGCAGCAAAACAGGTAAAACCACCACACATGGAATATAATCACTGATTATAATGGACCCAGTGAGCCTCATCTATGCCCCTGAAAATAATGGGGTTTTATTTTGTTTGTTTTTTATAATTTAATAGGGATAGTGCATAGTTGTAGAGATTTCATTACTTGACAGATAAAGAAATTGTTATTCTCACAGAATATGTTCTGTTTTCACAATATTGTGTCACTTCAGATCAGTATGAGACAGGGTTGAAAACTTATCATATACTCTGTTTATAATTAGGCTTATTTTGGCTGACAGTATTATATATTTGGGAAGATGAAGAAGACACATTACATTTGCATTTGAAAAGAACAAAAGTTTGTTTATTATATGGCATCAGGAAGTCTACTTACTAGAGGAACTATATTGTGCAAAATTGGCTCTTGTGAGCTTTTAGCCATGTTATAATATTATCTCATTAAAAACATATCTGGAGTTGTGTTTTGTTTCATTCACACAAGTTTGAGTAACCTTTTATTATTAGCTCAAAATGCTCCGTTCCACCTTGTGATGGCATGAAGCTGTAGTTTTCAAGTTAACAGCTGCCTTTTTCCTTTTGTTTAGTATAAATTGGCAATTTCAAGACTGAAATTACCGAAATGATTCTAGTGAAGGTGTATATATGGTGTATGTTTAAAAACACAGTGAAACATTTCACTTGTATTATCACATGACATCACAAAGTGGAACAGAGTGTTTTCTGTTTGAGAGAAGAATTCAGCCTAAATATGCAGGGTTTCAACTTCAGGTATGTTTTTGATGAGGAAACAACATTATAACATAGACCAGAAAAGAGCATAATATGGGCCCTTAAAGGTGGGCTTTATACATTGTAAAAACAAACAAAACCTAATAGAGTGAATAATACACTACATTATTATGGAATTATATACATTTATATACATTATACAATTATATACATTTAGACTGCAATACATAATCCTACCCAAATGTAGTTGATTCAGATGAAACTTGGGGTGGAAGCTCTTCGAAAATGTTTGTTAAAACAGTTGGTGGTCCTAAGGTTATTGGATTCTGATGCATTGGCAACATTACTGATCCAACTGAATGTATATTTGTATTACCAATGCAGAAGATACAGTAATGACTCCCATAACAAATGTGTGCCTAAAAGACAGAAGTTAATCAGAATCCTAATCAGTCATTTTATATCCACCATAGAAAATCATTACACAGATGGGTGAATCATTGCAGGATGTTAGTTATTTTGGACCCTCTTCGCTGTATTGACATCCCACTTGTGCATTTTACAGTGCCCACCTCAGCAGCTGACCACACAGACCCTCTGCAGTGGGCGTAAATAAAACTGATGGTGATTTGTAGTCCGTGAACGCACCGCTGCCTTAGACTGATCAAAAGGCTCAGGGCCCTGGGTTATCGATGCTTTCTCTCCTTTCTTAGGGTGGGCTGCACGTTTTGGCCCTGCAGTCTGTGTTTGAGGAGTCTTTGCCTCGTCCTGGTGTGGAAGCGGTGAGGGGGGAGCTGATGCCCAGCTGCTGGGTTCTTCAGACGCTCAAATCGACAGGGCAGGAGGTCACCAGGGTGGTCTATCTTCTACAGGTAAAGCATGAACTCAGTTTGTTAAGGTGGCGTCTTGTACAGATTTAAAAATTTAACTAAAATTGCAACATAACCTGAGATGCCTTACCTGACCAGCCAGAACCACATGCTTTGATAAAACTTTACAAAGATGAGTGGATCTGGACTCATATTCCGTGTTCCTGATTTCAGAGGGTGTGATTGACAGGCGGATTAACCAATCAGAGAAACACATGGTCTATTACTGTCAAAACCAAACGTGGCTGTTTACATGTCAAAAAGGAGAGAAAACTGAGACAGCAGAGATTTCTACAGAATCAACAATAGAAGCAGCAAACTATTACTTATCTCAAGCAAAAGTGATATATTTTTCTCTGAATGATACAAGAATGTTGGAGAGAAGATCACTATTGCATGCATTGCCATATCATGATATATTGTATCGTGAGCCATGTATGGTGTATCGTATCGAATTGTGAGGGACCCTGTGATTCCCAGCCCTACTGAGTACAAGACCAATCTGTTGAGTCACAATGTTCAGGAATACATTCTGGCATAATACTTGCTTTCCTGCTTGTACAGTGACGCATTGACGTCTATCCAAATTACATTCATATCGAGCGCCAGCGTCAGATATAGCTAAGATCTTAGGTTTGATTTCCAGGTACAGTTTTTTCTGTGTACAGCTTACGTATTTATCAGTGCACTTAGGCTTCCTCAATTTCCTCATTTGAGCAAAAGGATTTAAAAGTAGTTCATGAACAAATACATGCATTTTATTTTCTCAAAATATTGGCCCATCTGATCTTTGCAATTTGAATGTCCAGCCTTTATGTTTAAAGGACCCATATTACACCATTTTCTGAACTATATCATAATGTTGATTTTTCATCACAAACATACCTGGATTTGTGTTTTGTTTCTTTTACATGTTCAACACAAGGCATTCTTAGGCTGAATTTTTCTCTCAAAAACACTCCATGGCATTTACGATGCCATGTACATACATACAGGAAGTGCTCCACTGTCTTTTTGAACTCCATACACCTTCACGATATGATAAAAGGTAACTGTTAACCATTTCATGACATCACAAGGTGGAACAGAGCATTTTAAGCTTAGAGATGTAGACACACTAATAACTCAAAACAACAACTAACCCTAACAACAAAACACAAGTCCAGGTATGTTTTAGGTGAGGTAACAACATTATAAAATGACTTCAAGCCCACAAGAATAAATTTTGCATAATATAGGACCTTTAATGGTGACTATTATTATTAGTTTATACCCACTTTGAGGACATAAAAACAGAGGTTGGTATATATCCTAATAACTAACAGGCACCAAGATCAAAAGATAATTTGTAACTGGCATAATTGGTCTAATAAGAGCATTTTTCTTCCTTATTCAGTTCATATTTTTCTCTTCAGGTGGATCTTGGAGCTCCTTCCTTCCCACAGCGATTGGTAAACACAGTTGTAAGAAAACAGGCAGCTGTCATCGCCAACCTTGATGCTTTTGTTGCTTCGTAAATACATGAAATCCATGAAACCACTCACAAAAGCAGAGAGCACTTAGACTGAGCTGTATCCAACATGGATGCAGGTAGTCTTTTATTTGCACCATAAATTATATTATTACTTGATTTTTTTTTTTTTTTTTTTTTTACACAGCGCACTGTAACTGATGTCCAGGCAGCAGGAGATGTTTTCTAAATGAAAGCTTATTTTTTATACCATTATTATTGAATATTTTTTTTATATTTGTAAATGTACGTATTGCTTTCCACAATCTTGCTCATACCAAAGAGATAGACAGACAGAGTGGCATTAAAGGTGCATTGTGTAGCTTTTCTGTTGGAGGGTGCGTCAAATGCTTTTCTTCACAGAGATGTTATTGCTTTGTTTGAAATATTTCACACTATGTTCATGGAGACCAAACCAGGCCAACTTATAGGTCAGATCTGTGTGGCGATCCCTTTCACAGTCAGAAAGCCTGTTTTTTTTTTTGTTATTTTTGAGCTAAAACCACCTGTAATTGAATAAATGTAGGGTAGATCTGTTTAATGTCATACTGTTGAATATTTGAAGAAGAGCAATGACATATCCATAGAAACAAGGTGATGGACCCCCAACTGAAAAGTTACATACAGTAGTGTGCCTTTAAAAAGTGATATTATTGAGTTGTTGTCGCTAAATGTTTAAAATGTCTTTACTTTCTTTTTTTTATTTATAGTGTAATAAAACTGCTCTGTTGCCACTGCAATTAAAGAGAATCAGCTTTTATTTGGGCTTAAAAAGTTAAATTACAGAAAACATATACATTTTAGGCATTAGAAATATTACATTAAATAATAGAGAAAATAAAATGTATTTTTATAATAAAATTAGACATAGGAAATCCTAAGGCAAGCTATTTCTCTTAATAGGGAAATTTAAATCTTAGTTATTTTGACTCATGAATCTTGAGTGTCCTAAAGTACACTAGGACAGACCTGCATAGACACATTTAGTGAGTGTGTTTTCTCCAAACACATAATTTATCCACTACAATGTTGATGTTTTTGTAGCAAAACTTTTGAGAGACATTCATGTAAGCTGAAGTAAATGGTGCAAAATGTAAAATGTAGTTACAAAACTGTGCAAAAGGTTTTAAAACTAGTTTATGAACAAATACATGCTTTTTATTTTTATTTTTATTTAACTGAATAACTTACCCACTTGCTAGACCTGGGTCTTCTAGTTCAAGTGCAAATGCTCTTTTCATTGACTACAGTACTACAGTGTACAATGGTCAAGATCTACTGAAATTAATTGCTTATTCTTTTAACATGCAAAGTTAGTAAATTTGGTTAATTATCTTACAATGGTTTAGAATCCATTTAACATTTAATGGGCCCATATTGCCCATTTTTAATCCATGTTATAATGTTGTTTCCTCATCAAAAACATACCTGGGATTGTGCTTTGTTTCATTCACACATTTCACACACAGATTTAGGCTGAATTCTTCTTTCAAACAGAAAACACTCAGAAGATATTGTAGAGTCTCTGTGGCAGTTTCATCTGAACAAAAGGTAAAATCATTTGTGTGTATTGTACAGTAAATCGGTTCAACCACTTGAGGCTAAAAACAGCAGTGAACTTTAAAACTAGTACTTGATGACACAAGGTGGAACAGAGCATTTTGAGATTTGAAGATGTAGACAGAGTAGTAATAAAGGCTCACTCAAACGTATGAATGAAACTGTATGTTTTTGAGGAGGTAACAGTATTATAACATGGCTTAAAGCTCACAAGAATAAATTTTGCATAATACAGGACCTTTAAGGAACAACTTGTAGATAAAGACCTTTTTCTTTCCTCACTTTATCACAGTACAATACCCCAGTCACATACACGTCTAAAAACTTGGACCAAAATTTGGACCAAAACTACCTTTTGATGTGCAGCTTTACACTAAAGGTCTTGAGTTCAGACCCTGAAACTGTTACACTATGGTACCCCAAATCTGCATTTCATGTTTTTCTATTTATTATTATTATTTTTTATCTCTGTGCCTCTTGAAAAGTTAATGAATGTTTTTTGGGGGGGTGGGGTTTGAAAGGTGCTGTGTTGTTAAAGCTTCTGTTTTTATTATTTTATGTTTATATTTTTATATCTTGATTTACTTTTGTTTGTTTTGTAATGTGTGAAACTATGCAGAAGGAGGTCATAGCAAGGTCAGTTCTTTATTTAACCTGGACAAAAGCCACAATATAAGCCATAGCATTTCAAAGACCAGTATGAAGGACTATGGAATTTTTTGTACTTTTTGTTTTTTAATACCCATTGTATGTTTTATATATAATTACTATTGTATTTATGTTTTGAAATAAGTGTTGTAAATATGTTTTTGATACACATTCTGTGATGCTAATAAGACTTGTCTGTGCTTTTGTGTGTGTTTTTTAATAAACAAAATATTCAGTATATATTATTTATTAATTTTTTTTTTACTGTTGGGTATTTCACCGCTAATGTCTAGCCAGGGGCTGTGCCAGTTTTAAGCCTGTTCAAATAGTGGATTTTGGACAAATCATATCATTTTCATTTGACTGTCCGTTTTATTGCTCTTTACTCCCTTTAGTGGCATAACATGGTTTCTTAGAGAGCACTTACATGGGCTTCAATACGGTCTATTTTTATTATTTTTAATTAAGCTTTACAAACAACTCTATTTAAAGGGCTCATATTACACTATTTTTTGATCTATGATATAATGAAGAATTGTGTTTTGTTTCATTCAGAGTTATGAAAAACACACTAAAAACCTTGTGATGTCATGTGGAAATACAAGAAGTGCTCCACTGTGTTTTTAAACTCCATACACCTTCACTAGAATCACTTGGATAATTTCAGCCCTGGAATTACCAATCTCTACTGAGGTTAACTACTGCTTCATGACATCACAAGGTGGAACAGAACAGTTTGAGTTTTGAAATGTGACAGACTAATAAACCAGGATTACTCAAACATGTGTAAACGATACAACACAACTCCACGGTTTGTTTTGGATAAGTTAACACCATTCTAACATGGCTAACAGATCACAAGAGTCAATTTTGTGTAATAGAGGACCTTTAAACAATCAAGGCCTAGGTACAGTATACATGGATGAAATAAGATTTAGATGGTGCTAATGAAAACAGATTTAGTTGTTTACTTGATGCCCATTCTTGAGTTATTTTTGATTTCAAATTTACCATTCTCTGCATTGTATCTCTTTCCTCCACGCATACATTCAGTAGGGGTGACATTTATGCGGTGGGTGGTATGTTGGTGGGTGTTGCGCGTGCGATTAGACCAGGGGCGGGGTGGGGTCTGTCCCGTCGTGAGTGTGTGTGTGGTGCACTTCAGAGATCACAAGTGCCTATGCCATTTCGAGTCACCGGCTCTACTGAGGAATGTCCATCCCCCGCGCGCTCAGATCATGTACTGGATGGGCCCGCTTTATTTTTAACCCGGCGGCGGGGTGGGTCACTCTATGCCTCTGCTGGGAATGACCGTGGAGCCAGTGGAGCCGACCGTCCCTTTCCCATGTCCCCCCGCGCAGGACCGGGCCACCTTGCTCCGTGAAGACTGACCCAAAGGATACCGCTACTGCCGCTGCTTCAATGGGATTATAATTGGTTCATTGGCACAGGGACCCGACTCAGCAAAACACGTGGGATAAGAAAACAACCAGAAGTAAGTGAGTTGAAATAAAAGTTAAAATTTATGCAGATGAGTAAATGTAATCTTATGAAAAAACATGGCTAATGATGAGATGTTAGCAAAGACTTGGACAAAGTTTTCGCATCCACCTGTTGGGCACGTGTCAAATTAGCCGACTAGCATTTACCTTCACATCTTTTTTTTTTTTTTTCCCTTTTGCTAGTTTAATATTTTATTTTTCACAAACTCATATTATTTCACCAAGTTATATTTTTTTAATACATGTTTGTTTCTGCGGTAATCACAGGTCTAGTCAAAGGTGGCCTCAATGACGTTTGACTTTACGCACGACGTGGCAGCGCTCAAAAATGTCCACCCAGATATTTATGTAAATATATATATGTATATGTATATATATATATATTTTTTATAATTTACCAAAACTTATTAGTAAATATCGTCTGTGATTTTTACTTGAGATATTAGATTTTGTTAATAGGACTACAATGTTAACAGCAAGCCATTGTCTTCACCTTAAAAGGGCAAGTGCGCATGTCCCCTTGTGCGTCTGGTCGTTGTATAAACACTTCAGCAGTAATTTATGATCGATTCTTCAAGACTTTTCCCACATGTTCTTCCAGCAGTCACAACAACAGTGACCACAACACTCAGCTACTTTATTATAGCTGAATTAGATGACCGAGATTGGTTTAAATACTAGGTCGCATTATGGCCGTCCTTTCCTCACGATTATTATGAATGAGTTTCCTGATGGCACTGGCAGCTGGAGGAGAAAGAAATGAAGCTGGAGAGTAGACTTGACCCCTCCTTCTCCTATACTGATGTGTCCAGTGACCATGTTGTAGCCAACTGTCAGGGATGGGAGCTGCCAAAGTTGTTCCCAAGTAAATAACCTTCAAACGTGCAAGTAAAAATCAACATGATAATAATACATAAGATTTATATAGCGCTTTTGGACACTCAAAGATATTTTACTAACAATAAGATAACATTTCAAAACACTTAATACATTTTAAAAGTTGTATGTAGTAGAAAAAATAAATAAAAAAAATACCCAACTCAAAATTTTTTTAAGCACTTGATAACAGTGATAATAATTTCACAAGAGTTAGAGTTAGAGTGGTAGCTTATAATATAGAGAAATTATATTGAAATTAAGTAGGCTACCTTTTTTTCCTACACAATACAAGCATCTCACATGAATATTAGGACACTTAAGATAGCTCCCTTGCCAAGTACATTATATCGGCAAAGTGTCTCCAAAATGTGCTGAAGTAAAAGTAGTGAGAGAGTCATGAAGTAAATATGATAATGGATAAATGTAATTTGAACTTGCCCTGGTTACAATCTCATCTATGGTAACAGTGTTGTCCACGTTAACTGTTGTCCATGGTAACAGTCATGTCTGTGGTAACAGTGTTGTCCAGCACATTCGCTCAGCCACACCCTGCTCTTGTTACTGCTTTGGACTCCCAGTCTACATTAGAGCTTTTCCCTTTTCTAATGCTGCTCAGAGTGCCTACATCAGCACACATTTCACTTAACAGCTGAGAGACCAGGCCCTGTGCTTGTTATCCAGCAGCTGACTTCAAGTTTACACTGTTAAATAATGAGTTAGCAAGAACAACAGAGCACAATACGGCCATTGTGCTTAATTAGCAAGAAGTTATTCAGCGTTTAATATTGAAAGAGTCGTAAAGTGTTTTTCCATTTCCTAAAACAGCAACACTTGAACTGAGTTGAGAAATCCCAGCTGGTATTTTTATCATCCCTCTTGACATTTTAGCACTTTTGAGAAATGGTCCAGTGCCGCTCAGTTAGATGCTTTATAAATGTTGTCATAAAGGTTATTTAGGGTCTAATCTACAATGCAAATAAAACTGGTAGTGATGTATTACTCATACTGCTGTTGTGTCCTTGTGCAAGGCGCTTATGCACTTGTGTGGTTGGTGGTAAGAGGAAAGGCGTCTGACAAGTCCCTATTCCATACTGTGATTTGGTTAGGTGTCTCCTTGAAGGCACACTAGACAACTTTATTGCTTTGCCTTGATTGTTCCAGTATGGCATTAAGCTCATCTATAGCCATGGAGACAAACGGGTAGGGCAACCAGACCAAGTTACAAGTCAGATCTGTGGAGAGGCAATCCCACACTAAATAGTATTATCCAATCATCTAAACAAAAATTATTACAGATCAGTTTCAGTAATATGTAGAAATCTCCTCAGTACTCAGTCAGGCAATGTCAGTTTATTTGTATGGACCATGCAGCTTTAGTGTCCCTGTAGGCTTACAATATAATGAGAAGAGATTTAAGGATTTTTCTCTCTTCAAATCTGGCCTGCTCTCTCTTCCCCTCTGCATTCAGTGTCTTTTTAAAAACGTCTTTTTACTGGGCAGGTATTTAGGCATCACCCACCCTCCCTTTCTTTCTCTCTCTCTCTCTCTGTTTCTTTCTGTCTCTCTCTGTCTTTCACTCTCAAGGACAAACTTCTACATTGACCGATGGCTGCAGCGTCTCTTTGCAACCAGGCTGTCTCCTCACCCCGATAGAAAGCTTTTGTACAACTCTACCCCTCAGCTTACTGTCTATCACCTGCCCTGCTGTTGTAAGTCTGGGCTCAGGCTCTTAATTTGGTTCAGTTTTGGCGGAGTAGCGGAGACGGTGACAGTTGGAGGAGATGGGGTTTTTTTGGAGGAGGGCTGAGCGGGGGCAGGTGGCGCGTTGATGATAAGGGTGATCCCCGGTGGTGGGTGGAGCATCCTGGGACAGATAAGAGACCCTCTGCAGAGAGCTGATACTGATGGCGGGCACAAGGGAGACCTGCAGCAGAACAGAGGGGCCCTTCTATCAAAACTACCAAGACTCAACATGGCAGGAGTCTGTGTAATGCCATGTAATGTCTGTTGTAACATGAAACTAATTATGAGGTGACAATACGTGTGTGGTAATTTGCCTGTCAGTAAGTATAAATAACAAAATATAGGGATAGTGATTTAAAAGCATTAAAATCATACATTTTGGAACACTTTTAACATTATACAATATAACCTGTTAAAGTGACCACATCACACTATTTTCTAATCAATAACATTGTTTCCCCATCACAAACATACCTGGAGTGTTTTGTTTCATTCACCCATGTTTAACGGACAAACCCTGCATATTTAGGCTGAGTTTTCTCTCAAATGGAAAACACTGTTCCACCTTGTGATGTCATGTGGTAATACAGGAAGTGCTCCACTGTGTTTGTAAACTCCATGCACCTTCACTAGAATCATTTGGAATTGTCCAGCTCTCTTGAACCTAATGTAAAAGGCAAATGTTAACTTCAGAACTACTGCTTGATTACATCACAAGGTGGAACAGAACATTTTGAACTTTGGAGATGTAGACTGCCTAATCATTGTGTGCAACATAGGACCTTTAAAATTAGTTGTTTTAAGTTCTGATTAACATTGAATCCTTGTCAGAATCTAAAAGTTGTATCTTAAATACCGTGTATTTGTAGCATAGTTGGCAGTATATTAGTTTATGTTTTATATGCTATTTCCAATCAAATTTGTAGACCAGTGGTTCTAATTAACTACGTACAACTGTAATGAGTATTCCTATAGGCTCCATTTTGAGCAGTTTGTTTTGTTTTCATGTGTTAGTTGCTATGACAACAATGCTAATTTTGTCATCACC